AAGTGTAGTAAAGTTTAGTAGTAAAGAAATGTGGATCATTGATCTGGGTAAAGTAATGACAAGTTTGAGAAATGAAATGTGGGTCGCAGGTGTGAGGTACAGAAATGTACATTCATGAGATCGTGGTAAAGGCATCAACATTTTTTCCATTATTATTAGTTTTACAATGATCTTTGTTATAAATAGGCCTAATCAAAATCTTCTCTTGTGAGAATAATGTAAATGTAAAAGTAAGCATCGTCACGTGATCAGTTACCTAAATCAGAGGACCGAGACAGTGGCGTAACTAGGATTTTCGGGCCCCTATGCAAAAATTATCATTGGGCCCCCTATTCGTGAGTCGTCATGTTACAATGGAGTTAAACGAAGAAATCAACTGCTACTTAAGAAGAAGGATTTTAAATAATATAAATAGTCTTTAAGCCTACATTTTATACCTTATACATCCTGATTGTGTATTTATACTGTATTATTATATAGTTTTTAAAAATGTTAGTCTCACAGTTAATTTGGTTTTTTTTTAAGTAAACCTAATAGCGTCATAAGGCGGGTTCAGGGGTGCAGTCGAATGACAATATTTAGGCGTGACACCATGACCAAACATTGTACAATTTACTGTCAAACTAAGTTGTATCTATCTAAAATAATAAAAGATTAGTGAAAAAGAGGTGACACCCCACCGAAAATGCTAAATTGTTGGGGAGGATGGGGTGGGTGACCAGAAAGAAGCGCACCGGAAAAAAGGGCAACGGAAAAAGCGCAAAACAAAAAGCGCAACGGAAAAAAGCGCAAACGAAAAAAGCGCACACAGAAAAAAAGCGCAAACAGAAAAAGCGCAAACAGAAAAAAGCGCAAACGGAAAAAAAGCGCAAAGATTCTGCCTCGGAGGTTCGCATATTTTTATCAAATCGGCCCTCGATTGACAAAGTTCTCGCGTGAATCATTGAGAAGGAAGCTTATTGTTTGACCTCCTGGTAAGTCGTTGATGAACAGGTAGGTTACAATCTTGAAGTGGAGATTGAAGCTCTCGTAATCGCCTTCGAGTCGAGGAGCAAAACGCTACGATTTTATTCACATTGATGAACTTTTTTGTAGTTTTTTGTTGATTCGCATTAACTTGTGAGTGACCCGGTAATGTCTATATCTTTCTCGTTCAACTCACTAGCAGCTCCAACAACGTATGCTGAACTCAAGATTCCAGCCACATTTTTCCCCGTCGTGAACCTTACCTTGTCGTGGTGGCGGGGCATACTGGCAGATGTGCCAGGCCAAAAGGTTCCTAGCATACATTTTAATTGAAATGAAAACGAAGCTACTCTAAATGACTTTTTCTTAAGATGTCTGTTGTTTTTAGTAGCAAATTTACTATCTCCAACAAGTTTAACAAAAATTAATTTTATGATATTTAAATTTATTTAATCATAATTATCTATTATATTTTATTAAAATATACGAAAATATACTCATATTCAAAGACATTTTTCTTCTTCTTCGTTCTTAATTGAGAATATGGTGGAGGATTTAGACAACAAGTCCAACTTCGTGAACAAACCGGACTGTGGTCTCCAGGTCAGCAGGTGCCCCATATAATTTTTCCCTGAGTGGGGTGAGCAGGGGCCAGTGTCTGACTTGCACCTGGCTATACAAAGAACATTCCTGAAGGACGTGCTCCGTATTTTCCGGGGCCTTGCCACAAGGGCACATTTCGCCACACCCAACCTTTAGTTTTTGTATGCATGTGTTGATTTTGTCTGTTATGGTCTGTTCTAAGTCGAAAGATTATGTATTGTTGTTTTCGTGTCAAATTATAATATCCATCATCTTTATTGTAGTGAGGGTGTGTGTCAGACCACATTTGCGTTTGTTTGTTTTTATTGTTCTTTTTATTTATTAATAATTCATTTAGGGACTATGTGCGACAAAAAAAAACACAAAATTTCTTGTTTTTCATTATGATGGGTTTCTTGCACCTTTGGATACTCTGTCCATTTTTTTATTTAGAAAATAATAACTTTAAAGAGAAAAAAAAATTTAGGTGTTTAAATTACCATTTTTATGTCCCTGTTAATTAAAAAAGAATCAATTTTTCCCAATCTTACACGCTCTCTATGTAAAGTTTTATATCCGTCATCATATTGTATTTGGCATCATTGGAAAGCTGGATTTCTCCTTTATTTGATAATCTTAATTTCCATCATCTCGGAAACACGCAAAGCTTACAATCGGCTTTGCAGTTTACACAGATATGGTATTTTCGTGACCTACTTTTCGTTACTTTTGGCTGTTTGTCTCAGTTCGAATGTTTTTAACACTATAAACTATAAAGCCTACTACTTTTTTATTTATTAAACAATCGCAACTATATTTTCAGTAATTGTTTTTCGTGCAAAAATACAACTTTTGTCACGAGGGAATTGTGATGGCTTTCATAGAAAAAACGTATTTGGTAATTAATATGCAAATTTTGAAAGTTTTGAACATTAAAAATGGTACGATTTTGTAGACTTTGTAAAATTCTTAGTAGTAGCTATTTCAAAAAGTTTTCGTGACAAAAGTTTTAATGTGTACCGAAATATAAGCAGTTTAAATTTGATTGCTATAGGTGCATAAATAAAAAAGCCTTAGCATTTTTAAAAGTACCAAAACATTCAAAATGGCGGAGGTTTTTTCGGGTTTTCATGACAACCAAAATTGTTTTCAACCCGTTTTTGCTGTTTAATATTTACTTTTATATGCCAAACATGATAAAAATATTCAAAAGGCTTTAGATATTTAATTGTACTGACATGTGGTCAAACAGATGTACTGACATAACTACGTGCTATAGCACATCTGTCATTTAGTTAACCATACAAGTAGTACTATTTTGACTATACTGTTGGCATGTTTTTTTATAATTTTTTTATCCTTTATATATGCTATGCATTTTCAACTACATATTATGTCGCATTATTTGTGTTCCATTTCTATTTAAAATAAATCTATGAGGCCTAGCACCAGCCTTTTTGTGGAGACTAAAATATCGCTCTTAGCTTGTGTTTTAGTACATGTTAATTTCTATTAATGGACTCTCGGGAAACATAAATAAAATCGTATTAATTGTGTTATAAATTTAAAACAAATAACAGTTTCTAATTTATATTTTAAAATTCATATACTATGGTTAACCCCCCTCTGTGGTCAAACCTCCGCTTCGGTCAAACCCCCTATGGTCAAAGCACCTAGGATCGTATCGATGAACTGAAATTGGATAAATTTATTTAGAAGTTAAGACTTTTTAAAAACTCCATCCAGGGGTGGGTTTGATATAGGCCTAGAGTGTGAAAAAGTGCTAATGAGATGTCGAATGTACAAGCCAGCCATTGGCTGTAATTTGATTGGCTAAGGGTCAGACCGTCTGACCAAGTGGTGTTAGTAGAGACCATGATGACCCTCGGAGATGAACGACGCGACAAGTTGTCGTCTGACGACAAAGATTTAGGTCTCTCAGAGCCGCCTCTAGCGGGTGACATCCCTTGGTTGTTGTTGACCAGTGCTTCTTTCGGGCATTTTTCTCCGGGGGGGGGGGGGCTTACATTGTCAAGGGTGGACAATGGCTAAAATATCTTTTTAAATAAAAAATATTTTCCCCAATTTCTTTCGGGAGGCGGTAGACTTTCTTCGTGTGTTTGTGTGTGGGGGGGGGGGGTGGAAGAGAGGGTGTAATTGCCCCCCACGCCCCTCCCCCCCCCCCCACTCCCATCCGAAAGAGATGCCTGAAAGAAACACTGCAGATTAACCTCAGCACAAGTGTCGAACGATTGAAACAATAGTAGGTTGCTAACGGTATAAACTATTTTCTAAACAACATACTAATTAAAATTAGCTGTTTTTTTTAATAAAATGCGAATGCCTCAATCTTTTCGTTAGACTTACTTCACGTTTTGAAGGAAACTTCACGTTTTGAAGGAAAAAAATAGTTTAAGTTCAACTCAACTGAAACATCTTTAGATGTGTGTGTAAGCTTGGCGTGTTAATCTGAAGCATAGTTCGCACAGAGGAGGGGAGGGTCTATTACCAAAGCGTTAGTGTCATACTGTCTTCAACATATCAAGCTGTTGTGTAGGCATATAGTTGCTTGAAAAAAAACTAAATTCTAAGGGAGTTTTCTTATGAACATTTCAATAAAAATGTTTGTATGCACTAAAAAGAAGAAAATAATAATTCTCTGTAAAAATAACGCGCCACTATTCATTTTACTAACTTATTCCAGACTGGCCTATCTTTCTTGTTTTAACAAGCTATCATCCGTACATCATCGACATAAATAAAATATTAATTTACCTCATTCAAAATAATAATTACAATTTACTAGTCAATAAAAATGCAAATAAGTAGCTGCGAATTTTATTAAGGCAAAGATGTGCCGGCATTGTTCCTGAACATTTTGTTTATCTCCCGTCGTCACTTAAGTAAATCCAAACTTACATTATCTACAACCCATAACTTAAGCAGTCAGCTGACACGCGTTGTTAGCAAAGCGAAAAAACTCAATTAATATTGTTGACAAAATCAGTCTGCCTTGGTTACATCCCCTTACTTTTGGGTTATCACTTATAATTAATTAATACACTTATGGCCAAATAATGTCTTAATACAACAATACAATGTATTATTTGTGTTAGAAGTCGGGTTCAGAAAATGTTAAATTTAATACAAACATCTAGAACTTCTGAGATGTAGCAGGTATTTTGAACATGCTAAAACAATCTAGATCTAGAATATAGAGGAATATAGTATATTAGTAGGCCTATATAGATCTAGTATATCTAGTCTAAGCCTAATTAATCTAGATCGTGATTTAAGAAAAATAGAAATGCGCAAATTTAAGTTATAAACAAAAATATTATTGTTAGACTACAAACAATGTATTCTACATAATCCCTGTAAATTCTAAAAAAAAAAATAATTAAAAAATGAAAAACCAAAAAAAAAAAAAAAGCGCAATTTAAAATACTTTGTTTTGTAGAGCCATAGAAATTAAAAAGTTTGTCTGGAACTTTTAGTGGCAAATTTGACAACAACGGTAACACTAGTAACAACAGGTAAAATGATGTAGACTAGAAATTTACTAGATCTAGATCTAGAATCTAGATCTATCTAGATTTATTACTCTTAACTTCTTAAGCAATGTTTCCAACAAATACAATCAAGATCTGGAATCTAGATCTAGATCTAGAATCTAGATCTAGATTAGATCTAGAAACGATTATTAACTTTTCCCGAGTAGGGCCTAGCTGTATGAGAGTGTAGCTAGATTCTAGATCTAGTAGTAGTACTAGTCTAGATCTAGACTACGCTAGTACTAGATCTAGATCTATCACTAGTCACTAGATCTACATCTAGACTATATTCTATTGTCATCTATAGATCTAGATCTATCACTAGTCACTTCGTAATAAATAATCTAGCCTAGCTAGATCTATAATCTAATTATATTCTAGAATCTAGATCTAAATATTAATTTTTTTAAATAGTAAATAACGTATTGGGGGTCATCAATAAGTGACGTCACACTCGTAGGGGGAGCGGGGTCCGTAATTTTGCGACAATGTGATGAGGGGGGGGGGGGGGTTCAGATGTTGCGACGTCACATTTTTGCATTATAAAAAAAGCAATGTTAGAAAATCGAATTTTAGACCTTAGTTCGCATTTTAGATAGGCCCTAACTGTTTTAATAAATTGTAATAGTTTAGACAAGATTTTGGAAAATATTATGTTTTAAAAAAATTAATCTGCAATTTTGAGGGGGGTTGTAGGTTGAGGTGTGACATCATTTTAGGGGGGGGGGGGGTCTGGCTTTTTGTGACGAAGTGTGATGGAGGGGATGGGGGAGGTAAAAATCGTCAAAAAAAGCGTGACGTCATTTATGGATGACCCCTTGACTCAATATTGAGTCTACACACAACACTTAGTTATTGTAGTTTCATAACTAACATAATAAAGTTAATTAGTTTCACATGTAAAACTGAGTGTACTCAACTGACATAGTAACATAATATTAATATAACAGATAACAAATCACAATCCATGACCAAACCAGTAAAAATATCCTGGAATAAATTTTAAACTACCCCATTCGAGACAACAATGAGTAGTTCTAAATACAAGCAGTGGTAAAACCTTAGTTTAGCCGCTTAGCGTCGCAAATTCCAACGTAGCTAGTAATGTGCGATGGAGATAACTAATGAATATTTCTTTCATTTGGCCATATTTATCTTATGACATATTTTACATAGGCTAATATAACAGATAATTGAATAACAAATCTAGACTACTACTAGATTCTAGATCCAGAGTCTAGATCTATTTTCTAGTCTAGTGGTTTAGTCTAGTTTAAAAGTTAAATGGTTAAGCCTAGAATCTATATATAATCTAGACAAGACTAGATCATCTAGATTCATTCTAGATCTAGATCAAATATAAAACTTAAAAATTATAGTCCTACTCCTATACCATCATACAGAAATGTGTAGGCCCCTAATCAGGCTAATCTCAGTATAAAATAAATAAGTTAATTAACTAGCCAAATTAAATATCACTAATGATATGAAGGGAGATAGTTTGTTGTGGTTACGGTTAATAAGTCATTCCTCACAACACTATACTGTGTGTGCGTGGTATGTGGCCTGACCAACCGAGAGGAGATTGTTTATATTATTGCTTTGAGTTTATATTTAACTTAATGCAACAAGCCTGCCGGTTGGTTGCGGCCAGGCCGGGGGGACGTTTTGACAGGTACTCAAAATATCGTCCCTAGATAGAATCATCTAGCTCATGAATTATAAGTTTTTACAATGTAGGACAATTAATTATTAGAACCACAGTAATTTTGCCTAACCACTTATAATATATGATTATCTTTAAACATGTTTTAATTGCCCTATACCATATTTTTTATTAATAGTAGGCCTACATTTCTTAATGTAAACATATATATAAGTTAATATTTATAAGGCTAAGGAAATACTTCATTTTTACCTTTTTGTGGAAATACATATAAAACCTATGTAAAATGTGTTTACCTTTTTACAAACCTCACTGCCATTACAGATAAACATACTATTCAAAAGTTTCATTAAATGTTCCCAAATGAAGCATCCACAAGCCAAGCTCTACATAATATTGTAAATTAATATAACCCTAGAAGTCTAGTTAAATGAGGTTGTAACTAATCAAGATGAAAAATACATCACTGTGTAACAATCTGTCCTTTTTATAAGTTAATGGTTTATTATTTATAAATTATCTTAAAAAAATAGTATTTTTTTATTTATTTTATTATTTTTATACAGGTTTTTCCTCATGGCCATTAGATTTTGTGTGGTGACTAGTACTTATATCTTGCTGCTTTAATTATGGCACACTCTAGCAATGAGGAAATTATCTCTCTTTCTTCTTCTGAAGACGAAGAAGGGGCTAGCCATTCATCAGCTGTGGCTGCAACGAGAGACAGAGAAGAAACTGTGAGAGAATTAATTCATCGTGCAATGGGTCTGCTCAACAGAGCTGAAAACAATTCTCGTCCGGAACCATTTAGATTGACAGAGAACTCCGCTTATAGATATAAATTCTCTTCACAAATTACAGCTAGTGACTTGTTCAGAGAAAGTGAATTGTTAGATTTATTTGAGACTGTCTCCATTTTGAAAGCTAGACTTAGTGCTGAGAGGGTGTTTTCTCTTGGCTGTCCACATGTGCCAACAGAGAGAGAGATCTTTGACGAACTTGTCATGCGCTATTCGCATGAGTTCATTGATTCATGGAGAGCAGCAGACAATCCACAGCTGCCAGCCCCTCACACTACAGAGGCTGCACACACTGATGCAACTACCTCACACATCCGGGAAAATACTGAAAGCATGGATACATCAAGCTTAAACTGTGATGCTCCTCGAGAGAATGTTGAGATGACAGGCCGTCAGGTTCAGGTAATGAAAAACCTTTAATTTATTTCAAAGATTATTTTTGGAAATCTGTCAAAATTCCAGTAAGTTGTTATATTGTGTATTCTGTTCTATATTCATTATAATCTGTACATTCATATAACTGGCTATTTTATTCTCAACAGGTTAGCTTGTTTTTAAAAATGCTAGAATTTAATTCCATACAAAATTATCTATTTGTGTTTGTTAAAGTTTAGTTTTTTTAAAAATGAATCTGTTCATATTGTAATATTGGTATTCCTTTGTACAGCCTCCCTACACATCACCAAGATGCAAGAAAAGAAAAAGAGCTGACATGCAAGAAGACAAGAAACAGACAGACAAGATAGATGACAATGCTGAGGAAGAAGATGAAGATGTAAGTAAATAAAAAGTCTCAATTATTTTTAGGTCAGAGCTTTCAGCTGGCCCAACTATAGCAGTCTGTTTGTTTGTAATATTGTGTACCTAAATCTTCCTGTACTTCTGTTACTAAAACTTCAAACGTTGAGACTTGCGTTTTGTTTGGATTTTTGTAAGAGTTTTTAAAAAATTTTCTAGTGTTGCTCAGTGTGTCTTGAACCCTGGACTACTGGTGGGGAGCATCGGATCACGTGTTTAAGATGCGGCCATCTCTTTGGTTTGAGGTTGGTTGGTCTTGATTTCTACAATTTACATCATTCTATTTAACTAGATAGCTGGGCAATACATACAATAAAAAGTTACCTTCAATTAAGTTTAATAACTATAAAAAGACTTCAATTTAAAAAATTCTGAAACATTCATACTGTATTTTGTAAACCACAAGCATCAATTTTGTTAACATTTAAAAATTAAAACTCTATGGTAGGTTTAAGTGGCAAATAACAGACAGGAAAAATGGGTTTGGATTTTTAATAAACTCCTGTATGTGTTTGATGTTTTGCTTCTCTTATTTAGCTGTATCTTGAAGTGGGTGGAGCAAGCCCACAGCTGTCCCCAGTGTAAAGCTCCAGCCAAAAAAACTGACTTGAGAAATATATTTGTTAGAAAGATAACAGTGAGTATCAGCCTATGTTTCTAGACAAGGATCCTTTGTATGCATCTTTCACTCATTTTTGTCACAAATACAATCTATCACTACAAGATAACACTCATCCACCAAGATAACTACCCTTTCGTAAATCCACAGAAATTTAGCTTTAAAGTATCATCTTGTTCAATTATATCTTTTTTATTAAGAGTAAACAAGTGTTTTTAAAAGTGTGTGAACAAATGCAAGTCTAGTCTCTGTGTGTCAGAAATGTTTTGATCATGACTAGGCTGAGGACACCTCAGAGAGGGACAGGGCACTAAAGCAGCTGGAGGAAGAGAGGGCTGCTAGGAGAGTTCTAGAACAGAAGGAAGCCGTAGCCAGGCATAAGATGGAGGTGATATCAGCAGATTATGAAGTTCTCAAGAGAGAGATGAACAACATGAAGTCTCAGATCTCACAGAGTGGGGGGTAGGTGTCATGATGTCTTGTGCATGTGTGGAGGGGGGGGGGGGGGGTCGTCATGGTATCTTGGGCAAATGGGGGGGGGGGTGGGGGTTCCTTGTTCTTTATTGACTTATCAAATGTTATTTCCATGTGGAACATAATTTGGTTTTGTTTTAGGAGCATGTCACCAAGTAGTTCAAGTTATGAACCTAGAGCCAGCAATGCTAAGGCCAGCCCCAATTATGTACAAAGTCATAAGAAATATCATTTCTTTCAGAGGATTCCTATTGCACAGGTAAATTGGTATTTTCATGGCTGACTACTTGTACCATTTTGCCTATAACTGTATGGCTTTGACACCCAGGTTAGTGCATGTAAATGCATGTAAAAAAAACAGTCACCTCAGACTGTTAGTATTGTGATGTCATGGATACGCCAAAAAGCTAATTATTTCTTATTGTGTTTGTTATAAATTTAATGGTGTGTATTGTGATTCTGCTCAGACAGACTAGTTCAGTGCTGAACTAAACTTGTGGGTTTTGTATTAGTGCTTCAGCATCAGTTTCATGAAAATGTTATCTAATGAAAGTGAAAGAATGAATACTTTGTGTTTCAGGATGCAAATTGTCGCGTGTTCGACTTCTGTAGAGAGATGGGTATTATTGTTGTTTCCCAGAAGTCCCCAAATGCTCTATTTAGGGGTTTTGGGATCAAGGTGAAAACAACTTGAAATTTTCATTTAAAAGCTTTGTTTCATTTAGATACCAATCAAATGTTAAACATTAGCATTTAATTAATTTAAATTCAACTTAAACCAATTTATCCGATAATTGACAAAAAGTGCTTTTACCATATTTTCAATGAAGAAAGTTAATTTAAAAAAAAATATTCCATCTAGCTCTTGTCTCGAGACTTTAAGCCACTATCCTATCAGCCCCTTCACTCTGGCGTCATCCGGGATATGTGTTTTCGTCCAATGACATATGATGGTCAGCTGCTTAGTTGTGGTATGGACAAGTGTATCCTGATGTCCAGTGTGTCCAGTAAAGCTGTCATCCTCAAGTAAGTTTACACTCAACACTCCAGGATGTCAGTAAACAGCATTCTATACATCAATATATATACAATTGTGGGCAATGTTTATCCCAATATCCCTTTTGTTTAGGTTGGTCTTGAGTAGTAAAACAGAAAATTGACATCACAAGTTACCCTCATACTTATTTGCCCCTCCTAAATAACCACAACCTTAACATAAATTAACATATTTTCATCATTTCCTTCCTTAATTAATACATGCTACATCAGATTTCTTGACACCCACCACCTCACTGTCTCTATTGTCTGTACTCCCTCCCTCCCCACTAGGTATGTGACTTCATGTATGGACAAAGCTTATATAGAATTACATGAAATTATAATTTGTAAGTTTTGTCTGAATTCTAATACTGAGTAAAATGTTTTTTTCTGAATTTCTATACTAAGTAAAAACTTATGTTTGAATTCTAATACTGAGTAAAAAGTTTTTTTCTGAATTTCTATACTAAGTAAAAACTTATGTCTGAATTCTAATACTGAGTAAAAAGTTTAGTCTGAATTTCTATGCTGAGTAAAAAGTTCAGCCTAAATTCCTATAATGAGTTTTAAAAAAACAGTCAGAAATCTTAGTAAAACATACCTCCAGGTATACAGTAAACATGCCGGTGTGGAGCTGTGCGTGGAACACCAGTAACAACAACATCTTCTATGCTGGGATGGAGAGAGGAGTGGTCAAAGAGTTTGACATCAGACGAACAGATTCACATGTACAAAATGTACTGGACAATGGTGTGGGTCCAGTTAGCAGCATTCAGTTTTGGAATGGTGCTGGCAGTACATCCAAGTGAGAATTTGTTTATTCGTAGGCCTATATTTTACTTAGTATATACAACTGTAGTATGGGTGCATTGTAAAATATGAACAGCCTACACAAAAATTATTTTTTATTCTTCAAATTTAAGTCAAAAGTTTAAGTGTTTAAGTCTATATATTAGCTGTATAGCAGTAACAATTTGCTATAATTGTTTTTTTTTAGTTGAGTTTAGTATTGTATTGACATTAAATAGTATTATTAATTTAGCTAACTGTACTGTAAGTTCATAGTCAAACATGGGTGAAATATGGAGCAGGATGTTGCTTAGAAATTAATAACTGCTGTAAAGCTGTGCTGGCTACTAAAATATTTATGATTTTATTTTCCGTACTTTTACTGTTATATTTATTGTCCACAGCAATTACACGGGACTACTAATTGGACAATTACAAAATGTAATATTCAAAGAATGTGTACCAAACAACCAATACACAACACATTTGCTGCCAAGTCTCCAAGGTAGATTTATTTCCCATTACTTCATTATGTTGTGCATGTATTTATTTCATGTGCTTATTTGTTTACTAATGATCTTTTGTACTGAACTGTGTGGTTAGCTATGTTGGATACCATATTTCATGTCCACCTAGTTTTATATACAGGTAGTTTTTTGTTTCTAATTATCCACAATACAGTATAAACTGATCTGTTTATTCTAATTATTACCAGCAAGTCTAATGAGCATGAGCTTACATCCCAGTGGACACTTTTTGACATCCTTTCGACCTAATACAAATCTTCCCAAATGCAAATATGAGGTACAGTAAATTACTATAATCATCTGAGATGAAACCAGAAATTTATTTTTTAAGTGGGGTGTGACAAATTTTCACAACCCATTCATGGTATTTCCAAGTTTTTAAAATATTTTACAATAATTGAAAAGTAAGTTTAAAAATAATTGGGCCCTGATAAATTATGTTAAATTTGCCTTTAAGTTTCTTTTTTAATCTTGGATAAATATATAAAACATTGGCAATAAATTGAATAAGGTTTCTGACTTTTTCAGAAAAATTTGGCTGGCAAAAAAATATTGAACAATTTTTTGCAACTGGAAAAAGATAATTCCTTATAAAGTAGAAAAGATAAATCTCTGAATCATACAATCTACTTAGGTTTATTTTTTTAATCCTTACACCCCAAATCTCCATCCATATGTTACAAACACACAAAAAGTATTTATTTGACCTTCACCACAGTAATGGGCAGATGTTTATTTATAAGAGTAATAGCAAGCCCTACTTTAAACTTTAAAATAAAAGTTATATGGCTTTGTCAGCTTGACATTTTTATGTTATTATGGATTATATTGTGTGGGAAAGTTATCAAATATTTAAGTCAGGATGCTTTATGTTTAGCTTTACAGTTTATCAGAAAACACTGCAGATGTAAGGACCATATCATCTACACATGTGGCTGCGTGGAAGGGGAGTAATTTGCAAGCTGTTATTAGTCGCAACACACTCATTTCTCGCCCTGAATCAGAGGAAGAAAATTTACTAGCAGTTACAGCCAACCATTATTTTAACTCAGTAAGTTTTAGCCTAACCTGATCAATGGCTTGGTATATTACTAGTGGGGTAACTGTAAATGGTCCCAAAAAATTATGTTTCTTTACTTTTGCATATTGGTGATTGAAACCTTATCTTATTGGTGTTTATATTTAACAAATTTCTACTTTGAACAGGTTCATATTTGGGATGTAACACGTAAGCAAGACTTCCAGCTTTTACAATGCTTTGATAAAGCTGTTGACATGAAGTCAATCAACGTGAACCAGAGCTGTGATTATCTAGGAGTTCTTACAGATAAGGAATTTATACTGTATAAGTGGAGAGATTAGTGTTTTGTGGAGAAGGTTACCTCTTGATAAATCATCATGTTAGCACTATGTCAAACAACACGCATTTATTTGTAACATATTTACCTAAAATTTTACAATAAAACAATCATGAACAAAGTAATTTAATTTTTTTTTTTATATTTTAAAGAGCTAATGTTTTTGTTGTGCCAAAACAGCTTTTTAAAAAAAAATTTCTCCAGGTAGTTCGCAGTTTGTATTTTATCATACAACCCTTGTCTCATGTAAATTTCAGTACCGTTCCATACTTGATGCTGTTCTTTAAGGAAATACAAACCCTTTCCCATCTTTAAATGATCCATCAAAATACATCAAGCTGTCAGTGTCAAGTTTCATTTAATGAACTTAAATGGTCAATGGTATGCAGCCAGTAAAATAATCAACTGGTACAAGTTTTGTGTAAATATATGAGCAGCCATGAAAAGCATAGGTTTTATTTTGATTTAATATGGCAAAAAATGGTACAGAATCAAACATTTACAACAACATAAAGTGTGAAATTAAAATCTGATGGGGTTGATGGCTTGGTGTAACCTTGTCACTGTGCTGTGTAGCACTTGTTGCAGGGTCTCGTCAGAACATTTCACCTCCTGAAGAAAACAGAAATTTACATTCATGTCATTTCACTACCTACATTGTTACACAACTCTTTCCAGACATATTTATCTATCATGGACCATAATTATATTAAGAGTTACTGGTACATAAGAATACAAAACTGACCAATGTGTCCAGATGAATAATGGCAGCCTTATCATCTACTGTGACTGTCAAACGGTCTCTCTCAAATACTTTACTGGTGCATTCAGGGCCAAACATTTCAGCTAAAGTTTCCAACAAACATTCCTGAAAGTGGGCTCTGTCTACTCTCAGTACAGGGGGTACATCTGTAATAAAATATGTAAGAATGATTGCGAGCAATATTGAAATCAGATAAGCTTACCATACACATACTTTGCTTGGGTTGGAGCGAGTGTCTAAGCTTTTTTTTTCTGTATCAGTATAATGTTTACACAATAATTAGAGCCTGGTTCATCATCAGAGGCATTTAAAAATTAGGTTAAATTTCACTTATTATATTGCCTGTAATTTCGTAAGTAATAAACCGGGAGTGATCTCCCCTAAACTTTTTCGAATATTCTTATATAAAACAACAGGGGATGGGAACTCGGGCTATAGACATGATTTTTAATCCATTTTAAATACTTAAAGTTTTAAAAATAGAATAAAATCTCGTAGACAAAAGAATTGCACACCAAGTGAACGCCAAATAAAAAAGTGCATACTAGTGCGCAATATTATTAGTACTTCAAAAAGTTACATTGGTTTTTTGAGAAATTGGAAGTAGCATAAATTACTACTTCCGGTCAACGGAAATTACTCAAAATTTAACAAAAGGTAGAAAATTAGATCTTTTACTCACATGTGAAACTTCATTTATCTATCTGAAATAGTACTCAAGTTATAGGCTTTTGAAAAATTCAAAGTAGAAAAAGTACCACTTCCGGTTATCGGAAATCGCTCAAAAGTTGATACGGATCTACGATTTTGATAAAATACTTATATATGAAATTTCATCAACCTAGCTGTAACGGTACTCAAGTAATCGTGTTTACACACAGACAGACACACAGACATACGGACAGAATTGCAAAGCCCAGTTTTTCAGACTGGATTACGCATAAAACCTTTTAATTTTGATAAATCTGGATTGATAATTATTGCCCGATTAAAATAAGTCTTCTATACTTCGGATGTGAAGAAGGACTGAGGTGTAATACGGTGAAAATTGTTAAAATTTCAAGTGATTTTTTATTACAATACTTTCTCTATACTTCGTATATACGAGAAAGTAAAAATGTAACTTGGAAAATAACCATTAACATCAAGGAGTCAAGTCAGGCACACACACTACAGAAAGTACCAACAAGATAAATCTTGGGTGTATTTGGGCACATGTTTACATAAGCTTTTGATAACAAAAGTCTAACTCAGCAGGGTTTACTGGTGCAACTAGTAAAATTAGTATCACTAGGCCAGCTTTAAATGTGGTTACATGTGCTGGTAAAGACAACTTACTTTGAAAGGGGGTGGGATCTTGCTCAGCACGCAACAGGACAGCAATGACAGCATCAGCATACATGTCAGAGACAGGGTTGGCTGTCCATTCAATATATGCCACACCAGATTCAAGAGACACCTGGTGATAAAATAGTTGATGCAATATTAAACTCTCTATTGCCAGTAATGAATAGTGAACAACAACAATTACCAAAAACTAACTAATCAATTCAGGGTAACCAAGGTAATTGGATTGATTTCTAAAATGCATAATAAAATATTGGAATGATGAGCGTCACCTGGATTGAGTTGAATACTTTCAGAATGGTGTTGGGCGTACTCTTGATGACCTCAATGTCACCAGCTAGTTGATTAAGATAGTAGGTCAATAAACTTGGACTGCCAGAAAAAAGAACACTGAGTCGCTGGGAGACTGTGCTCATTGCTAGATCTGTGTAGCCTATCAAGACAGCAGAAAGGGGTAAAATTTTAAACCTCAAATAAATTTGTTGTTACATTTCATTCTCAGGCATCCCAATTTATTTTTTCTGAATTGAAAACAAGTTGAACTTACTTTGTAAATCTTTAGGGGAGACAATGTGGTAATTGAAGTTTCGTTTGACTAGAATTCCAGATATTAGGTGTCCTTGTTTTGGTGGCTCTGCTGCCAACTCTCCCACAACCTATACGGTATGGACAAAAATCTGATTAATACCAAATCTTTTAAAAACATATTTAATACATTACATTTTATTCACACATTTTTTTATTAATACTATACAGTGAACTGAAAATGGAATCCAAAATGTATCACTTTAAACACACAAAAAAAATCACATAAATGGCTCATTGTTATTAACGTACACCATTTTCATGTGATGTTTTATTTTATCTAACAGATTCTAATTCCAATGCTAACCTTTGCTATTTTCTCTCCTCTGAAGTGTAACTCAATGGGAACTGTATTACGAGGATTGTGCACCTCCATCTTATACTCTGTGTCATCTTCATACTCTCTCAACAATGCTGACTTTAATCTGGCCATTTCGTTGACTTCACCGTGAACCAAGACCTAATTTTGTACCAGACATATTTTGATCTTAAAACGATATTTAAACTAAAGTTCTCAACAAGAACATTAATCAGCCGACAGGTTTAACAACTATTTACACAATAAAAGTAATTAACTTGATCCCTATCAACTGTTATTTTAAATGTGCAACAGTTTAAGCCTCACCACATGAGCTGGTTTCAGCTCTCGTAAGAATCCTGATGTTTGCTTGTAGTCAGCGTGGGCAGAAAATGAGATGTAATCAACAGAACACTTGAGTGGCAACTTCTGACCACCCTGTGTTACTATTTCATTGGGTTCAGACAGTATGTGCTGGCAAAGAAAAATGTACTAATGCTAAAGCTAGCAAACAGATCATTACATGTCTCTAGATATTCCAATGGGCAGACAAGCAAAATAATGCCGACTTGTGCTGTCTTATCTAGGAAGCTTTATAAGTAAACGGTCACCATGGTAACTCAACCTACCTTAGCTAATGTCCCTTCAACACAGTAGCCAGCAATGATGCAGCCATTTCTTTTATCAGTGCACCAGCTTTCAAAAAGTTCTCTTGACAAACCACTCTGCATCATACCTGGACTAGCCAGCACAACTGATGGGCCGATGTCTTCAAACTGTTCCATATTCTACACAAACATTCAACTCATTAGTTCAGTTAAGTAGCAAAATTTGTTTTGAGAAGGTAATATCTTGATTTTAAAATAAATCAAATTTATAAAATCCATGTTTTAAAAACCACTTAGATCCTATTCAACTGTTCAAACACCTTTAGGTACAACTCTTTAAACTTAAAGCACTCTGATAATTTGTTGTTTTTTACACTACCTTCAGATTGATGATATGCTTGAACACAAATGGATTACTAATGGTTATCTGTCGCCGAATTTTCTCATTCATGGCATTGATGTATGTCTGATAAACACTCATGCATTTTTTGGCCAACTGAGAAGCGTAGTATATAGGGATGTCATGCAGCTCTGGGTGGTTGCTCCAATATTCATCTGAAAAAAGTGTGCATAAAGAAACTACAATTTAGGTACTGTACTCATAGGCTACATTCATCTGAAAAAAGTGTGCATAAAGAAACTACAATTTAGGTACTGTACTCATAGGCTACATTCATCTGAAAAAAGTGTACATAAAGAAACTACAATTTAGGTACTGTACTCATAGGCTACATTCATCTGAAAAAAGTGTGCATAAAGAAACTACAATTTAGGTACTGTACTCATAGACTGTAAGTGTCTGTGCCATCTTCAGTGTGATAACAAAGAATAAAGGCTACAAATAAGGTTAGATTTGTAATGTAAGAAATAGGAAAGAACAAAGTTGTCCTAGTGATGTTAATGGAATTACATTTTGTGTAGAGGGGTAACTGATAAATAAAGTTGCATTCAAGTGGCAGCTACTTACCTAGAATGAGCAGCAGTTCTTGTGCTCTGCCCAAGGCAAATGCAGGAATTAAGCACCGCCCACCCCTGTTGACAATGTCATGAACTAAGCTAGTAAATCGATGTTCTCTCTCTTCTCTGTTTTCATGGATGTGTGTTCCGTATGTTGATTCCTGACAAATCATACGAAAGTTAGTTAATTAATATCAGATCATAAAACTTACTCAATTAAAGAGCTATTTATTATTTTTAAAGTTGCCTAAAGCTTCAATTTAGGCAACTAATTCTTGTGCTTTATTTGAAAATGTACTTACAATGATAACAATATCAGGTTTTACATTAGGCATTTCTGCACTCATCAAATGTCTGTCTTCTTGTCTAGAGTAGTCTCCAGTATACAAAATCTGAAGAAGACATTTTAAAACATACAAGTTAACACACAAATGCAAGTTAGTATGGTGTATCACTATTGAAACCTATGGATCATTCAACAATGACCCATTACTTAATTAATGTTTAGTTTTTTAATCTAGCTCACCTTTACACCAGCTATTTCAATCATGAACATGGCTGCACCCAAGACATGACCAGCAGAGTAACACCAAAACCTCACACCATTTATATCTGTTTCCTAGTGGAGTATGTTTAACAAAGCACTAGTAAAGGAGAAACTTTATGGTATAATAATACAAACAAAATACAAACAAACTTTTTTTATGAACACTTACCTGATGAAAGTTGACTGTTTCAATCTTCTCCATACTTTTTTCTATATCACTATCTGTGTACAGCTGGTCATCTGATGCTATGTTACTGTCAATCAAAGGATACCAGGTTATAACATTTCATAGATTGACTTGTCAGAGTGAATGTCATAGACTGACTTGTCAATGTCAGAGTGAATGTCATAGATTGACTTGTCAGAGTGAATGTCATAGATTGACTTGTCAGAGTGAATGTCATAGATTGACTTGTCAGAGTGAATGTCATAGACTGACTTGTCAATGTCAGAGTGAATGTCATAGATTGACTTGTGAGAGTGAATGTCATAGATTGACTTGTCAGAGTGAATGTCATAGATTGACTTGTCAGAGTGAATGTCATAGATTGACTTGTCAGAGTGAATGTCATAGATTGACTTGTCAGAGTGAATGTTATAGATTGACTTGTCAGAGTGAATGTCATTGATTGACTTGTCAGAGTGAATGTCATAGATTGACTTATCAATGTGAATGTCATAGATTGACTTGTCAGAGTGAATGTCATAGAATGACTTGTCAGAGTGAATGTCATAGAATGACTTGTGCTGTTGAGATGTTTGTGTGTTAAGAAAAAAAAATTGCTTAAGTTTTTACCTGACTTTAACATAATCTGAAAGAAGCCAACGATAAATGGCTTTAGTTGCATGTGTCATGAAACATCTGCCTTTAAAGGCAGTCTTTTGCAGGAAATATGGCAGACCTCCACAATGGTCAAGATGAAAGCTGCAAGGCAAAAATCAAATAGCTTTCAAAAGCAACTAAAATATTGTTGTTACAACAACTTACAATGTGGACACAAAATTAACAAATATAGCTCCAAACAATTTAAGCAGTTTACTCACTGGCTTACAAGCATAAGATCAATTTCCTCGGGTTCTATCATATCTAGGTATGGCAGTGACGCCATTCCACTCATACCTGGGTGGATGCCACAGTCCAGCTGTGGAATAAATGATATATGGATTGGTTGTTTAATCCAAATAATATTTTAAATTACCTGATTAAAATCATACATAAGTGACATGTATCTTACCAGGATTTTTTTCCCTTTGAACTCTAAAAGATGACATGATCTGCCCACTTCTTGACCAGCACCACTAGATAAGACAAGTGTTGAAGAGTATTATTGTGGTTTGTGAAACTTTAGCAATTTAAAACTGTAAGGGCATGAACTTTTTTAAAAACGTTAGGATTAACTTTATCATAAAATCGGAGTATTGCACCAGCATCACACCAAAAAAAAAAAGATTTCACTTTTTTTCTTTTCCATGAATTTAATTTAAGGGGTGGCTGTATAAGTATTCATCAATTCATCCGTGGAGGTACTTGTGAGAATATAAGCACTGTGCTAGCAAAAGTATTTATCCAAATAATTTTAGCATTTATAATATGGCTTCTGCATAGTAAATAGTTTGCTCTTTTTTAAAAGTTTTAAATGCATATACTAATGAATTAAATAGCTAAAAAACATAGAGTGATGTCTTAGGGGTTATTTATAAACAACATCACACTCCTGGAGGTGGGATTGACTTAAATACAATGCATGATGAGGCAATGGGGGAATGGGGTTAAGAAAGTTTAGAACGTGTGACAGGACACGTTTTCATTTTTTAAAATTATTGTTTGAAAATTAATTTCAGTCATGTTTTCTCATTTTTAAAAGACTTTTTTTTATTTTGAACAGTAATAGTAGATAAGCAGTGGGCCAACAAAAAATGTATCTCTTCTTCATTCATAACGCACAAACTGTGGTCGGCCGAAAAAAATCATCAATTTACTTTAAAATTTTCCAGGAAATTACATTTAATTTTTAAATTATTATATCTTCTCCCAGTTCATGCTGGCTATTGTTAATTTTAATGGACGGGAGTGTTTGCTTTGATAATTTAAGCAATCAATCTTTTTTGTTCCAAAATCAGTTCTATTGTGGCCTTCTGATAGATTGAATAGAAATATTTTATAGCATTTACCAGATTTTAAATAGCTTACAGATCTTAATTCAGACTGATAAATACAATCGCAATTATTCAGCATTAGTATAGCATCTAGTAATAGTAATATTACTAATATGAAAGCAGTGACAATCGTTCTTAGAACCCCCGCTCACACAGATGGGCACAGTGGACTGAAAGATTTCTGGATCCTAGTCACTATTAAATGATTTTAGGACAAACTTAATTTAAAATTATGTAAACAAAGCATAAATCTTCAAAAAACAAATCAGAATATTATAAATTATAATGCTAAATTTTTTAAATGATTAGTTAACAATTATTAGGAGCAAATATGGATGAAAGACTCTGTGACTCTGATGTGATGCCCAACTAATAAGTACTAATTAAAAATGTAAAGGCAGCAGTTGTTTGATTTTAGAGTGTGCTCTCCTAGATAGGTTGCTGTGCCCAGCTAACAAGCCTCACCTAACTGTGGGCCTGAACTTGGGACTTCGGAGATAGCAATCCTACTTACTCCACCTGACCACATCATTCCCTAAAAATGATTGATTCATAGAATAGACATAGAAGTCAAGATCTGTGTGAGTCTAGATCTATACTCAGTTTTGAAAAAGCTAATTAAATAGCCTAAAGAAATTGCTGTTTTGTTGGGTATTTTTTTTGGCCCATTCTAGCCAGATAAAGATAAATAACTGCTTTTTCTTTTCTTTAATGTTTGTTGTTTAGGCCTATGTTTTGTCTTGATGGGATATGGAGTAAAATGATTAGGCCTATTACTTAAAAATAAATAGGCCTAGTAGATTTAAATAAATAGGCTAGGCCTATAAAAGTAGATTTTTTAAAAACTTTTAATACTTCAATTATAGACTAGATCTACTACCTAGTTTTATACTAACTAAAACAAATACTATGAACACTTAACCCCTGATGACTCGCCTAAAGTGCAACACACAGTACAGATAGTTTTGTCAGAGGAACTAATTTAAAAAATTATATAGGGCCTACTAAAACAGGAAGATTTATCCCTTTGCACAGCTATAAAAGGATAATTTGAGCCAATTGTGCAGATATTAAGGCAGGTCATTGCGTTTTTCATCTTTTGCTGGGCAGACTAGAGCTGGGAGGAATAGAAGCTTCTTCGTTGTTGTTTTTTATTGCATTTTGAGTCCAAATTTATTTACTTTTAGGGGGACATATTTCTTTTTATTACTTTAAAACTAATAGGCATAGCTGTATTAAATTTACTTTAGTTTTAGATTCTAGCTCTAAATGTTTAGATTGACAACACGACAACAGACAGTAGACTGCAACAATGGGAGTTATGAAGTTCAAGTTACAAGTCAAGTTTTAAGTTACTTGATTAGGGACTTTGAGAAAATTTCCAAAATGATTTACCTAGGTTAAAAAGCATATCATCTTAAAGAGCTACATCAGATTAAGACAAAACAGTTTACTTTTTCAAAATTGGACATTCCGTTTTAAAGTTATGATTTTTTTACTGAATTAAAAGTTACTATAGGATTTGGTGGTAAATTTCGCGGGCAAATTTTGTGTGTTCTTCATATAAACCAATTCCAAATCTCTATTACATGGAAATTAGTATTCAAATTTTCAGAGTTTCAAGATTAATATGTTATGAGGCAATTAAACTTAACATATTTGTAAAAATATGAAAGGGATGACAAAATGTGTGCCTTGAGGTGATGCAACCCCCCTAATTTTGTAAAGTGACTTTTTTCAAGTTTATCATTATTCTAAATCTAACAGGTTATCAATATCAATATTATGCCACAATCTGAATGTGTTAAGAGTCACTTAAGGGACCTTTAAGGGACCTCATAACCTGGAGCTTTGTAATGTAATTTTAGACTCATTTCTCTCCAACCGGTAAAGGTTCGGATATCGCCAAACATAAATCTAGACAAAAATAGACAGCAAAATTAGTTAAAAAAGAATTACTCCATTAATGGTATTAATAAAAACATATTTTAATATAAATTACATAGTAATTTACATAGTAATTTATGACCACAACACTAACAAAATAACAAATCGCCTTGAACAACATCAGTTAATAACTAATAAGTAATGTACTGTCAATAGAGGCGCTAACATTGTCATCCTACTCCTCTTTTATTTGCAATCCAATAGGCTACTCCAAGTGAATCTACACTTTACTGCTGACTTTTTTCTTTAACTTAAAAAAATTATACTTCTAAAACAGATCTCCCCCCTTTAACATTCCACTTATGTTTAATCCTCGCCCCCTCCATTCTACAAAAAAGTAGATAAAATTTCCTGTCTCTAGCATCCTATCATGAAGTTATTTTGGCATGAAGATGACTTACAACAAGTTGTAGCATTATAATTTAGTTGTTCTCCTAATTGCAAAACCTATGCTGCTGTCTTCTGTGCATTTTTCTTGTTACTGGCAAAAATGTAGAGCGCAAAGCCATCAGAATTCTGTCCTTCTGTGAACTAACAAGAAGCTCCAAGTCCTGAAGAGATTTGGAAGGCCACTCCATTTGAATTACTGAAATAAGAAATAAAAGCTTTGAATGCATTCTTTTTCTTATTATATGATACTAGAAAGTAATATGTTAACTTGTACACTCAAGTTTCTATATTGTTCCAAGAAAACGAAATCCTAATTCAATTTTGGTCCAACACTAAATATTTTGAAAAAAAAATAAAATATTGTCTTTTTAATAAAATATAATGATTGAACACTGTTAAAATATAAATATCAGTTGCAGATGCCTTGAATTAGTTGAGATTTCAATAGATACATAATAGGTATCATTGTTCTTAACCAAATCGGCCATTATCGATAATAGGTAACTATCGCCATTTGCCGATCGTCGGCTTAAATTTTAAGACCATGTTCACTTCGCGAGGCATTATCTAATTCATGCGAGGGTTAAATTTACAAAATAAAGACTTTATAAGAAACTTAAAACAAAAATCTAGGTGTATCTTTTAAAAAAAAATGACTATCTTGTTTAGATATTAAATAAATTAAATATTTATACATACCTGTCCGAGAAGTGTGAATTACTCGAAGATACGTCGATGGTGAAGAGAAAAAGTTTGGTAATCTATCGTTTTGGGTACGTAAAATCGCCCGCGATTTGTAATGTGAAAAAAATGTGACTCCTTAAATTTTAATAATTATTTCACATTTTGAGGAAGATTTATGTTTTAAAAAATTCAAAAATGTTTCCTTGATTCATTTATGTACCTGTTTTAAAACAATTGAATTAAAACTTTTCCGTAATAAATGAAGACTAGCGATGTTTCCAACAGATGCAACTATGCTCATTTACTATAGCAGCCATCTTGTCTAAGTTTTATTTTTATAAGCTTTTAGCGCCAGATTCAGGGGGAAGCCACTCTATTTTACAAATGGCTGCTGTTTATATAACAAATCTTGCTCTCAGACACTGCTGTTTAAAGTTAATTTCTGGCTTATATTGATATATTTAGCCATTGATTTAGGTTTATTATTCATTTATCTATAATATTTGACACAAAAGTATGACAATATACTTCTATTAAAGCCTTGACATTGAGGTAACGTTTTCGTACATTAATAGCCGCGGGCGATTTTACGTACCCAAAACGATAGATTACCAAAAGTTTTAATCAATAGAAAGGTGGATTATTCCTAGGTCGATATTCATGACGATTTGAGTGAAGTGAATGATTTTTAAATGAGAATCTGGCTTTATACAGTGAGCTATGTTTTGCCTGACGGAAACCAGAATCAAGTTTGATACGGCGGCGGTAGCGCAGTTTCCGGCCCGAGATTTGACAGATATCGTAGTCCCTAACTTGATGATTTGATGAAGTTACTCAGAACTTCACCGTAGTAATTCTAATCTTTATAGATTTAGAAGCCGCTGTAACTTGTAGATTTTTTTTAGTATCAAGCCTTATTCTATCATTCATTGCAGGTAAATTACGAATAACATACAGGGGTCTAATCTGAAGAATATCGCTTTCTTCTGCCGGTAACTGACTTTCGATTTTGCGTTTGGCCGCCATGTTCTAAATATACCGGATATGTAGTCAGAAACTTTTTTTATTTAATAGGCCGAAAGCTACAAATAGTAGGCCTACATTTTTTTATAGTTATAATATAAAATTGCTTTATATTTTGACCTAGATGAAAAAATTAACTAATTCAATATTTATTTTATTTTATATTTTAAGTAGATCTAATTAGCGATGAAATTTCAAATAAGCAAAAACCTTTTTAAATAAGTATCTTTAATATGCTTTTTAAAACCGATTTGTGGAAAATGCAGCTGGCTAAGCTACTCTCGTCTAATATTTAAAAAGTAGGATGAAAAGTAAACGAAACGCGAATAATATGTTACATAACGTTTTAAATTAGTTTTAATAAAATTTTAATTTTTATGTAAAATTTGCAACAGTAAGTTGTAACCATTAAACTTTTACCTGAAAGTTTAAATTTACTTGTAGATTATCTTGTACTAGACAATGTTACCTATTTATGTATTTTAGACTTTAGTAAATCTAGTAGTTATTTTAGTAGTGTGTACTCGTGTACGTACACTACAATTACAATCACTACAGATGTTTAGTAGTTTTTAACGTTAGTTTAGTTAGGGCCTATAAGAGTTATATATATTTTATAAAAAAAATTTTATAGGGCCCTATGTACCCACAGTTAATTGAAAGACCTGCAGTCCTTCACTAGATGCTGTGTGTATCATGTTATGAAAATTGAAATAATAAATAATATTTTGAATATGCTAGAGCTAGTATTATTAGGCCCTATAAATCTATATTAGGCCTATACCATTTTTATCAGTTTCACATTTTGCAGAAATGATCTACATTACATCATGAAGCAACAAAAAGTCATACATTGGTTTCGTAAAGGTTTGCGACTTCATGATAATCCTGCTTTTATCAAAGCTTGTGAACAAGCAGTTGAACTGTATCCAGTTTTCATATTAGACCCATGGATAGCTAAAAATACAGCAGTTGGTATTAACAGGTGGAGATTCCTTTTGCAGTCACTTCAAGACTTGGATAACAGCTTAAAAGCTTTAAACCTGAGGTGATTTTAGTGTTACTCTTATGCATTTTTTTTCATATAGGCCTACATTCGTTACATGTTGGTTAGAAAACAATTGAATTATTTACAATTAATAACAAGATTTGTTGCTAATTTATGCTGTATTGTTGGCTAAGTTATACCATACCACTGTTCGCTTCAAATTTAAGGTTTGTGTTAATGTTAGTGTTTGGTTTCTGCAGATATGCAAAGCACAATGGTGAACATTATCTGTCTAAGCCAACATTGTCTTTAGACTAAGTTATTTATTATTACTCATTTTTGTTACATGAGTACTAATAATTTCATGAATCAAAATGTGCACTTTCTGAATTCTGTATTAAACAATTACAAATTTAAATTGTGCTCTATTTTCCTCAGATTGTTTCTTGTCAAGGGAAATCCTGAACTAGAACTAGAAAGCCTCTGTACAAAGTGGGGGATCACTAAACTAACATTTGAGCTGGACACAGAGCCTTATGCTGTTAAACGAGATGGCATAGTGGAGACTAAAATGAAGGCTATGGGTGTGGAGGTTATCAAATGTGTTTCTCACACTTTGCTGGATGTTCACAAGTAAGCTCATCTTTGTTAAAATGCTTTTTTAATTGTCAAGGGTATTGTTAATGTTATACTTGAAACAGATTGATATTATTTTTCTCAGTAACAAACTGCTACACTAGCATATGTAGTTTCCTTTACTCATTTACTTTTTGAAAGTGTGCCTTTTAACTACATTACACTGTGGTGCTTTTAATGTTTATATTTGAATTGTAAATGAATGCTGAACAACTGCAGAATTTGTGCACAATTTTATCACTTGAAGTCTTGGGGTACAAAATTCATCTCAGGCTAGCCAAGTGAGCAGTTGTTTAAATTTTAGTGGGAGGGCTTAGAATTCACATAAATCTGTTTAAAAAACAAACATTGCTTTACTCGTTGTAAGTTGTAATTTTTGTTTCTTTTCTTATAGAACAGTAGCAGCCAATGGCGGCAAACCCCCATTAACAATGCAAAGTTTTCTTTCTGTGTTTGCTAAAGTTGGTCCACCCGATCAAGCTTTGCCTGCCCCAACACTGCAAGATCTTTCTGGTGAGTGAACAGAAGGCATGGTACTATTATTAGTATACAAGATATCATTTGTTTTTTCTTTCAGTTTAATTTGTAAATTTACTTTTAGAATGTTTCATTCATATCATAAATATATATTAATAGTATAATCAGTATCAGAATTTTTATTATATTTTTATTTGAAGGCTGTAAAACCCCCATTGGTAGCACACATGATGCAGATTATGGGGTCCCAAGTTTATCAGATTTAGGCAAGTCTGAGGCAGACTGTGGTCCAGTGCTGTATCCAGGTGGAGAGACTGAAGCATTAAACAGAATGGACCTGCATCTTAAAAAAACTGCAAGTGTTCATTTTTATCCCTAAAATAATCTATACTTAATTTAATACTAAAGGAAGTTATACCACATTCTGTTGAATAAGAAAAATAACTCTATGTTATCTTACATTAGATACAGCTTCTGTTAAATTTCTGTGAGCTGAAATGTCATTGTTTTGTATACTCCCAGAACTGGATCTGTACCTTTGAAAAGCCAAACACGTCGCCTAACTCCTTAGTCCCCAGCACCACAGTGCTCAGTCCTTACTTCAAGTTTGGCTGTCTCTCAGCCAGACTTTTCTACCACAAGCTTAGCCAAGTCTACCACAATAAGGTAAATAAAATACCACTGTATCAACATGTCTGAAAAAATAGAGTGGTATTCAGTTATTACAATTATAATTTTAATCTTTTCTAAATCCTGTGGTAAAATATTTGTCTTTTCTCTCTCTTAGAAACACTCTGCACCTCCTGTCTCTTTACATGGACAAATGCTGTGGAGAGAATTTTTTTACACAGTAGGGGCAGCCACTCCCAACTTTGACAGAATGAAAGACAACTCTGTTTGCAAGCAAATACCTTGGCAGTTAAACAAAGAACATCTTGAAGCCTGGGCCCATGTAAGTAAATGTGGATATTTGTCACCAATTATCTACTCCCATTTACAAGATTGCAACATCTCACTGCTGAGATAACTGTCTCATATTTCTAAAATTGACCTACCAAACAGGCCAAGACTGGCTACCCATTTATTGACGCCATCATGACTCAACTGCGCCAGGAAGGCTGGATCCACCACCTGGCCAGACACGCAGTTGCTTGTTTCCTCACCAGGGGGGATTTGTGGATCAGCTGGGAGGAGGGACAAAAGGTGAGAAATGGTTTTCAGATCTCATCCAACTACAGTTGATAAGTTGGTAATACAAATTTTAGTGAACCCAATCATATTTATAAAATAGTTTTGTTCCCATGAAGGTGTTTGAAGAACTTCTCTTGGATGCAGACTGGAGCCTGAATGCTGGGAACTGGATGTGGCTGTCAGCCTCTGCCTTCTTCAACCAGTTTTTTAGGGTCTACAGCCCCATAGCCTTTGGCAAGAAAACAGATCCTAATGGAGATTACATTAAGTAAGTAGTTTAGTGTATTTCACCTTTTGATACAATGCACTTATAAACCTCAGAATATTTCTAAAATGCGTGTCTGTACTTTTTATAAAAATAACATTATCTGCAATTACTGTAAAATGCTGCTAGACTATGGAAGACTGTACCATTTTTACAACCATGGGCTATAACTCTTTCATCTTAAGTATTACAAAATATTCCCAATGCCTAGTGAACAACAAAATAAGTGTACAAGATAATGGGAGATAATGTCATCCCCAGAAAGTACCTGCCCATTTTGAAGAAGTTCCCCGCCAAGTTTATCTACGAGCCATGGAAAGCTCCGAGTGCCATGCAACAAACAGCAGGGTGTGTCATCGGCAGAGATTACCCTCGTCCCATAGTTGAACACGACATTGTCAGTAAGATCAACATTAAGCAAATGACCGAAGCTTACGCTAAAGCAAGAGAAAGTAGTAGGTTCTTTGTTACTAACTTAGTAGAATATAATAGCTCAGCTGGTCAAATTAACTAATCTAGCTTAGATGTTTAGTTTCTTGTTGAAAAAAAAAATGTTACTACTTTAAAGCAAACTTAAAAAATACTTTTGGTGATTTAATATTCCTCAATGTCTGAGAAATCTGGTTTACTTAAAATGTTTTTAGTGTCAGTCTTTATTTTGTTTGTGCCTATCTAACAGATCCAGCAAGTTCCAAGAAAAACAGTTCAAAAAAAGGAAACACAGAACCTGTAAAAAGTAAATCTCCAGCAGGACATTCAGAAGCTATAGAAAGTAAAGCTTCAGTAGAACATTCAGAAACTATAAAAAGAAAATCTTCAGTAGAACTAGAACACTCAATAACTAAAAAAAGTAAATCTTCAGTAGAACATTCAGAAGCTATAAAAAGTAAAGCTTCAGTAAAACATTCAGAAACTATAAAAAGAAAATCTTCAATAGAACTAGAACACTCAATAACTAAAAAAAGTAAATCTTCAGTAGAACATTCAGTAACTGTAAAAAGTAAATCTTCATTAGGACATCCAGAAATTATAAAAAGTAGATCCTTAGTAAGACATTTAGAAACTATAAAAAGTATATCTTTAGATGGACACATAGACACTATAAAAAGTAAATCTTTGGTAGAACATTCAGAAAAAATAAGTAAACCCAAGAAAAAAGATTATCTCCCCTCAAACTCTGATGACCACCCTGAGAAGAACAAGAACCAGAACTCTACCAATACAGAACCTACCAAGACACCTGCCTTCAGTCAACAAAAGCACACATCTGAACCAGCCATTGTACAGACTACACTAGCAGCTCATGTTGAAAGGAAGAGGAGGTCCAACAACTCATCTAGCACGTCTCCCCCATGTAAGAGAAAAAAACTTTGAAACATGGTCCAAGTCTCATGGAGGTTATTAGTACTAATAGTACTATGAATTAAACTTTCAGAAACAATTTCAACATGTTTCAGGAACAGAGTCACTAAATAGAATCTCAGTCTGCTCAAAATGTTGTTTTTTTTTCTTATGCATTAAAGGGAGATAACTAATAGAAAAATAGTTAGCCTGATGGTTCTTGAATTCTATAATTATGTATAGAACTGTAGTTAAAGTTTTTTAAATCAATATTGTAACGTGTTTGATATGCAATTGACAATAGCAGCAAGGAGTGTCTGTCAACTATGTTAATATGTTATAGCAACACTATGTACAATGTGTTTAAACATATAACCCAAATATTACAAATGTGTTAAAGTGACACTATGTACAGTATGTGTAAACATTTAACCCAAATGTTACAAATGTGTTAAAGTGACACTATGTACAATGTGTTTAAACATAAAACCCAAATATTACAAATATGTTAAAGTGACACTATGTACAGTGTTAAAACATCAAATGTTACAAATGTGTTAAAGTGACACTATGTACAATGTGTTTAAACATAAAACCCAAATATTACAAATATGTTAAAGTGACACTATGTACAGTGTTAAAACATCAAATATTACAAATGTGTTAAAGTGACACTGTACAGTGTGTGTAAACATTTAACCCAAATGTTACAAATGTGTTAAAGTGACACTATGTACAATGTGTTTAAACATAAAACCCAAATATTACAAATATGTTAAAGTGACACTATGTACAGTGTTAAAACATCAAATGTTACAAATGTGTTAAAGTGACACTATGTACAATGTGTTTAAACATAAAACCCAAATATTACAAATATGTTAAAGTGACACTATGTACAGTGTTAAAACATCAAATGTTACAAATGTGTTAAAGTGACACTATGTACACTGTGTGTAAACATTTAACCCAAATGTTACGAATTATGTGTGCTTTTTAAAATGTTGACTCACTACAAAAATGCTAACTTAATAAACAGTGGAATCTGTGATGTTGGAATACTTAAAGGTGTTCTTATTTTATACTTACATTCTATAGATCTATTTAACAGTTCTCAACTAATTATATTTGAAGTAAGTTTTACCACAACTTTGTGAAGTAGAGTTTGTGATAGTATTGATACTGGTAACTAGCGTAGCTAGGGGAGGGCAAATGGGGTGGTTGTGTTTGAATAAAATTTCTGTAATTTTCGTTTCTAAACACCCCTCATCTTTCCTCTCCCCCACCCCTACCCCCACTAGGTGATAAGGTGTTACACTTGTGTACCAGTTTGTTTCGAGTAAAAATCAAATGTTAAAAAAGCAACTTTATATTTTCAGCTCATAAAGACTTTTAGTTCCTTAGTCCTGTTTGTTTCGTTTACATTTATCTCGCACCCCCCACCCCCAACGTCATTGGGGGTAGGGGAGATTATTAGACAAGTTATACTCCTTTGGCATGTGACTCTGGGAATGGGTCACGATTATTCATTGAAAGCAGGGTTTCTTTCAGACATTTTTCTTGGGGTGGGATGGGCGCCTGAAACTTCTCGAGGAGCGGACACGTGGGATACCTGGAAGAACCACTGATTGAAAGAGTGATCATGCATGTTTATCTCGCGGTTAAACACAATCCATTTGTCATAAAGCTAGAGCAGGGATGTGACTTTTCCGATTAGCGATTATTCCTGAGCTGCAACATTCCTTCGTTAAATTTTCGCCAATTTTCGATTTTTATTTCGCAAACTGAAATAAATTTTAAAATCCTCACAAAAGGTATCAATGAGAACTAGACCTTGTATCAATATGGCTTACGTGAACTCACCGTGGCCCCAAGTAGCCTACGTGTTTGATACTGCGTGTTTGGGGAAAATAAAATTACGTCATGACCAATCTCAAATGTTCCTGCTATGACGTATGCTGCTAATGGCCTACTGATTTCAAAACTAATGTGAACTCACCGTGACCCCGACCGTGACTTGTTTGTGGAAGAAAAAATACGATACCGACTTGGTCTATTTTTAATAACAGTCAACGGCTATCCTAAAAGCACGAATAACGATGTGGCTTGGCTAATATTAAAATAGTTCATCTCCGTTCAATATTCACCGTTCAAAACTAGATCAGGCAAATAACATTTTTTTTCCATGACTTATACAAAAGGAAACAAGCTTTCATACATATTTTGCATTTATGTTTTTATATATATATATATATATATATATATATATATATATATATATATATATATATATATATATATATATATGTATATATATATATATATATATACATATATATGTGTGTGTGTGTGTGAAATATTAATATGCGTATTCTATGTCAAATATCACACAGCACTGCAGGAAAGTAAAAAGGGTCTATTATTTGTTTAGTAAAGCAGACTTGTAAATGCGAGCAGATGATTAAAAAATTGTTGTGTGAATAGCACAAGACTGTCACTTAATGTGGAACAACGCGATAGCCTGTGTACATTGGTCTACATTTGTTCCAGCGAGAAGGGTCTGAGGACCAGCTGATGTGTACAGGCAGAATTGTACACTTGTGACTGGAGTGTAGTGTACACAAACTTACGCTGTACCAGTCTCTAGCACATCTAGACCACATCTGTAGAACAACCATCTGTAGAACAACCACCTAGATTGCTGACACTGCGGGGATGTGTGAACTCATCGTTTAACCTCACCTCTGCTGAAGCTTTCAAACTGTTGTAGACTGTCGTTAGACTGAGGTACACATTAATTAGTCACTGTAGATAATTTTCTTATTGTTTTAAGTATGATAAGAATAGACCACCGGTTATTAAAGTTGTACACTCCATCCATATGAAATATTAACATTGTTATTATCTAAAATGTTTCACTTACTAGGGAACATTTTATTTCATTTATCATATGTTCATAATAGAAATTTAAAACATACAGCCTCTATATCAGGTGAAATAGTAAAATTGGAATATCCCAGTGTCGTAACAAACCTTTTGGCGTAGTTTGGGTGTCGTGGACATGACACCCCACCCCCGTGTGGTGGCGCTTTTTTCCCTCGAATAATTTTTTTTAGAAAGGCGCCAAATTTTAGAAGACGTTAAAGCCAGGATGTTTATTAAGACAGTTGTGTCTATCTGGCACCCAACCTGTCTGGATATCTGCCAGTGTCCAACCTGTCTGGATATCTGCCAGTGTCCAACCTGTCTGGATATCTGCCAGTGTCCATCCAACCTGTCTGGATATCTGCCAGTGTCCATCCAACCTGTCTGGATATCTGCCAGTGTCCAACCTGTCTAGATATCTGCCAGTGTCCAACCAGTCTGGATATCTGCCAGTGTCCAACCTGTCTGGATATCTGCCAGTGTCCATCCAACCTGTCTGGATATCTGCCAGTGTCCAACCTGTCTAGATATCTGCCAGTGTCCAACCTGTCTGGATATCTGCCAGTGTCCAACCTGTCTGGATATCTGCCAGTGTCCATCCAACCTGTCTGGATATCTGCCAGTGTCCATCCAACCTGTCTGGATATCTGCCAGTGTCCATCCAACCTGTCTAGATATCTGCCAGTTTGACAATGTATAGTGACCCAACATTACACTAAGCCAGCCCCTAACCCACCAAACAGTATCTTTCACCAAATCAGACAGCCTTCTGTCATGTTTGTGTTATGTAATGTGTGTGTTCCGCTTGAGCGCACACACCTCTGCTGTATAGATTCATGAAAACATAGGTGTCAGTATAGGTAGACACACGTAGTTGGGTGTGGTGGGTGGGTGGGTCGACGGAGCCACTTAAAATGTTGAAATAAATGCATGCTAATGTGTAGATAGACGCACTTAGACGTGTAGATAGACCTATTAAGATGTGTAAATAGATCTATTAAATTCGGTGTTTAAATAGACCCGTTAAATTCGGTGTGTAAATAGACCCGTTAAATTCGGTGTGTAAATAGACCCATTAAATTCGGTGTGTAAATAGACCCATTAAATTCGGTGTGTAAATAGACCCATTAAATTCGGTGTGTAGATAGACCAATGAAGCTTTGTGTAATGGATGATTGCAGCTCAAACATTGACGTAAAATCGATGAAGTATCTTCAATAATACACACATCGATTATTTGTTCTCAATAAAAATTACAATTGAACAAACAAATACTGATATGGTTTAACGGTCACCATTCGACTCGAAGAGGCGGACTTATGGAGGTGGTGGCAGTAGGTTTCGATCTCAGTATGTGGGTCCGGAGATATAACGCTCTGAACACATGTAGCTGCGTTGAACACATAACACTGACGTCAATATACACGATGTGCAGCGTGTTTAGCAAATTCGTGCACCGCGTTGTTGGGTCGGGTTAAATTACCCGGCCTTGACCTTAGCCAAACATGGCGTGTAGATATGTCAAGTCTAGCCAAGTCGGTCAGCGATGAGTTGTGTTAACCTACATCGCTTCTTGTAAACAAACAATTTTTTTTCTCTGTGCTCTGGATATAATTCCGCCACCGGCTTGCGTCGAATATAAACTGCCATGTTACACCCATCTACCCCACATCCCCACCCCACATACACCATCTCTCTCAGACAGAAATCACAATCCACGCCTCTTATAACAACACGCCGCGAGATTCTAGATGTTTTTCTTTAGGATTAGAGCCATACACTATACACCACTAGCTAGTCAAGCACCGCACTAAATAGATCTATGAACAGCAGCCCCCCCCCCCGCTCCCCATCCCATCCGAACGACTACGCCCGTGACCGAGTACCTATGTACAATGTTTTTTCTCCAGCTGTCACAATGCGAGGTCGAAGAAACCCCACCCCTGACCAGCCACCCCCGACCCTGCCCCCGTGTAAGGTGTGTGGTGAGCAGGGCACCGGGTTTCATTATGGCGTCACCACGTGTGGAGCCTGTAAGGTGAGTTGACGTCTGCTGGTGTGCTCAGGTGAGGTGACGTCTGCTTGTGTGCTCAGGTGAGTTGACGTCTGCTTGTGTGCTCAGGTGAGTTGACGTCTGCTTGTGTGCTCAGGTGAGTTGACGTCTGCTTGTGTGCTCAGGTGAGTTGACGTCTGCTGTGTGCTCAGGTGAGTTGACGTCTGTTTGTGTGTTCAGGTGAGTTGACGTCTGTTTGTGTGTGTTCAGGTGAGTTGACGTCTGCTATGTGCTCACATTGTCGTAGCAAAATACAACAAAACGCAGAGCTGTGTACATCTTGCTGGGATCTTAGGATGGTCGTGGGACTGACAAATTTTTGCGTGCTCTAGGCTTAAACTTTTCGTCAGACTGAGGCTGAAAATATTCCGCCTCAGCCTGAAAAGTTAGAGAAAAAATTTGCTAAAAGTTATTTAGGATTATTTGTATATGAATTCTTTTAATTTTTTGCTTATCAAACTATTATTATCGTCTTATAAATCTTTGTTATGTGACGAATCGCCCTACTTGAGAATATTTCCGTTTTAACTATAAAATTCTTGTTGACTTATTAAAAAAAATGTTAAACTAGAAATTTGCTTAAGGCCTACAGATAAGTTTAGTCCAAGAGCGGTAATGGCCCATACTCTCGTTAGTTGACAGTGTTTTTAATTCCATTGTGTGCAGGGCTTCTTCAGGAGAAGTCTGGTCCGCCAAGAGCCGTACGTTTGTGTGGGAGCCGGAAATTGCCGGGTAGGACCTGAAACAAAACGCCGGAAAAGTTGCCCCAAATGCCGGCATGAAAAGTGCCTAGCGGTGGGGATGAGCAAGGGAGGTAAGTATAAAAATATTTTAACGAAAGTTAGGTCACTTGTTTTCAGCCCTTATTACCTAACAGATTAGTGACAAAAATTAGAATGCCGTAGTCAAATTGCTATCTTGTCGCGTATACTAAAATGCTTGTCTAGTCAAATAATTGATTAAACCAAAACTCTTATGACACGGTTACCTCCCCTCTCCAGCTATTAAGACGGGTCGCTACTCTTACGTCAAGAAATCTCACGACTTGATGGAGGTGATCCAGCATCACGTGGTTCCCTTCAACTGCAGTAACTCGTCCACTGACTCGACCAGCGACAGTAACTCGTTCAGTGACTCGACATATTTCAGTGTGAATAAACCGTTCACAGAAGACCATATGGGGAGTAACTCGCCTACAACATGCAGTGACCTTAGCAACCAGACAGCTGAAGACAGCCCACCTGTGCCAGTCTCTAGACAAGAGACCAGCTCTGGGCCTGCAAGTCTATCCAGCACAGCTATAGTTCTCTCCCCTTCCAGCTCCACTACTTCTGTGATGCCCTCCCCTTACAACTCCCCCATCTCTGAAAGCCCCAGGGGAAGACAACTGCTGTTTACAGACGAGTACCTTCCCCTGTTCAATACCCTTCAGACGAGCGAGACAATACCAGACCCCTCCCACTTACTTGATGAAGCAGAAGACCACGTTCAACCAAGCGTGTCCACAAGTCAGCCAACCAGCTCTATATATCACAATTATTCCCAGATTCTAGATCATTACTGGACTGATATTCCCTCGCCATCTATACTGGCGTCCCCTTCTGTGTCGGGGTCTGTATCGACCATACATCACCCTGTTCCTCAGACTTCAGACAATCTGGAACCTTCGCTTGTTGAGTGTCTTGACTCGGCGTACCCCGGCGACCCAGAAATACTGAGCACAACTATCCCCTACCCAGACATCTCGCCCACTGTACAGCCTGGCCCCCCAGATAATCTGTCCCCACCCCCCAGCACTGGGGTTGACCTCTGTGATCACCCCACACCCACCCAGCCTTTATGTGGAGACTACTCTGAGAGGACGACGTCCACAGGCGTGTCACGTGATGAGGGACTCATGCAGGAGGAAACCAGTTTCAATCTCGCGACAGTTGCTGGGGATCTCGTCAACTGGAGGCGGGAATGCTGGGAAGACGGCCATTTTGAAACAGACGGTGATTTACATGAAAGCTATGTCACGAAAAACTATGAGGGAGGCAACTCGTTTGTACAAGGTCATCTGTGCTTACAGGAAGGTCATCCATGTTTACAGGAAGTCCATCCATACGTAGAGGAAGACCCCATATGCGTCAGACCAGCAGAGCCACACAACCACGAAGCACCTGACCCCACCCCTAAAGAACCCCCGCCTACCGACCCCCACAACCCCGAGGAAAGCTTCTTCCGCCAGCTGACCCCATTCAGCCTGACAGAACCGGCCCGACCAGCCGCGGAACCAGACGGCACCGCGACCCGTCGGCTCCACAACAACAGCGTGGAGTACCAGCACAAATATCTGCCGTGGTGCGAGTTCACTGAAGCGGAACTCGATGACGTCATAGCATCCCTCAAGAAATCCCACTCCAGGTTTGTCGGTCTGGACAGCAACCAGCTGTCAGAGAAGGAAATCTCAGAGAAAGAAAGTCTGTTCAGGGTACGGTGTTTCCTTGTGTGTTTACACTCCTACCCCACTTCGTTTCATTGATTTCTTATGATAATGGTATTTGAACTTAACATTGCCATATCGTATTTTTATTGATAAATTCTATTTGAAAATTTTGTTTTACCATTTGAATTTCAGAGTACAAAATTGGTTTGATCCGTAAATGATCATTCCTGTCTTTAGAGCAACCGGCTGTTTTTACAGATGCATGTGTTTAAATTGGTTTAAAGCACACCGTGTTTACTACATTAGAATTGTAGCTTGTGACCTTGATTGTATGTGCTGTGTGTATTGACCAAACGTGACCTCTGACCTACATTGACTCACCAGAACATGTTCCTGTACAACAGTGTGGGCACGCGTGAGCACCCAGCCATCAGCAAGGAACTTTACTACGACATCCTCGAGTCGACCGGCCTTGACATTGACGGCAGGAAGACATGCGCGGAGGTGTGGGCCAAGCTGATGGACATGAACCTTCAGAACACCATCCGGTTCGTGCGCTCTCTGCCGGGGTTCAAGGACATCTGTCTGGAGGATAAGGTCACGTTAGCCAAGTGTGAGCACAATATCATATTCTCCTTCCCATCTGACCTTGACCTTTTCAATCACATTCTGATCATTTTGTCCTTCCCATCTAAACTGGATCATTTCAATCACAATCTGAACACATCCCCATTACACGGTTAAACACAGTAATGCCTCCATCACATCTAAAGGTAATTAACGAACGGGTTAAGAATTGTATCCCCTTTCCATGATCACTCTCTCCTCCAACCGTTAGAAGCACCCCTACATCGTAAGGAACTAGATCTATCTTTTTGAAAATCAACGTCAAAATGTACACAAGTACAAATGTGTGTGTCGTTTTTAACTTGCTCACAGCGTAAAGACAAAATTTATTACTATTGTGACATGATATCTAATTGATCAAATTAATCATTTCTTTATTTTCGCTATACCCTTCAAGGCCTTGTATTATAATTATTGTCTTTTCTATTGATGTCATTTCTTTAGTTACCACTATGACGTTACAATTTTTGCTGTAACTCTAAAAAGTGAAATCTTGTGTGGCTAGTTACAGTTGCTAAAAGTGTATGTTGTGTGTTGCAACTGTTGTTGTGTGTATCAACTGTTGTTGTGTGTTCCAGCCTCCATGGGCGACTACCTGATCCTGAGCATCTGTTGTGTGTTGCAACTGTTGCTGTGTGTATCAACTATTGTTGTGTGTTCCAGCCTCCATGGGCGACTACCTGATCCTGAGCATCTGTTGTGTGTTGCATCTGTTGTGTGTATCAACTGTTGTTGTGTGTTCCAGCCTCCATGGGCGACTACCTGATCCTGAGCATCTTCCGAGGTGTGAACGCCAGACAGGACACGATCGTGCACGCCGAGCACAAGATTGTCCTACCTGTGGGGTACCTGCTCAGTGTCTTCCCAGACATTCAGGTGGTTTTAAACGGCATCACCACCATGTCGACACGACTTAAGGAGCTCAAACTTACGGTCGATGAAATTATCATCATGAAGGCCATCGTGATTATGTCCCCTGGTTAGTATTTTCCAATACCATGTAATAAAAAATATAAAAAATATACCCGGAGGCTGGAAAAGTATTTTCCGTAAATTAAATTAAAACGATATATTATTTGCTACTAATGGGTAGATAAACTAAGTGATATAACAATGGTCGCCAGGGGCGGTGTTCTTAGTAAATATTTTATCTAGTCAACACGCGTTACTTGCTAACACACAAAAGTGTTAATATTTTGAGAGCATAGATGTATACATTAAATAATTTATTAGATGTTAAAACAAATTACTATTTTACCAAAGCCCCTCCCCCACCCGATCTTTTAGTCTGTTTTTCGCAGCTTTTAGCAGAGAATATGAGTATTGTTTTTAAGTTAGTGAATATAAGTATCCACTGAATCTCGAATGTTCTACCCCTCAGACCGCGAGAGCCTGCGAGAACACGAGAAGGTCTACGCCCTCTACTGGAAGCTCCACTGCTGCCTGATTCTGTGCCTGTGGCGCCGCCTGCCCTCCCCCCTGCGGCACTACTCCCGGATCATCTCCGTGTTGACTGACATGCGCCTCATCTCCGACTCCACCAGCAAGAGCTACCAGAGCTTCAAGCCGGAGCTGCTCAAGCTGACCCAGCACATCAAGATCCCGCTCTACCTGGAGCTCTTCTACGGCGGGGCGTTCGATGCTCAGGTCTAAACCCCGCCCCCTCCACCACCATCAATGCTCAGGTCTAACCCGTCACCCCCCTCCCAATGATGCTCAGGTCTAAGGACCCCCCCCCCCCTCCACCACCATCGAAGATCCGGTCTAAAGACCCCCCTCCTCACATCAATGTTCAGGTCTACCCCACTCCCTTAACCTATGCTTAGGTCTAACTATCCCCAACTCATTGCTATTCAGGTCTTACGACTACCCCCCACCAATGCTCAAGTATGACGTAACCTTCGGTACCATCATCAATGCCCAGGCCTAGCGCACCCCCCTCCCCCATTGATGTTCAGGTATAAGGCCTCCCTCACCAATGTTCAAGTAAGACGACACTTCCCCCACCTCCCCTCACCAATAAAAAACAACCTGTAAATTTGTAAAAATCTTTTTGCAATCAAAACACATTGCTTGTACTAGTGCCTTGACAGCAGTCGTAAGTGTTTGAGTGGATATATTTGTTTATAGGTCTACTTTATTTTCTGAAAACGTGCCCCCCCCCCTACGTACCGGCTGGACACCCCCTAGAGCCGCCTCTACCCTCAACACCAAGAAGACATGAACAGAGCGTGTGTTCGTCGTCTGCCGCCTAGCTTCACCTGCCAAACTGCTATCGACTGCTAGCCAGCTGTACGCGTGTGATCAGTCTATCCCAGCAGTAAAAAAAATAACTGGAGCAAGATCACACTTCTTCCATCGTCACACGACCTTTAACCTGTGTTGACAAGAACCACCCGATTCACCCCCACCCCTCCTCTCTTAAATAATGTAGATATTGATTTCACAAGGATGCAAATGACTACAAAACAAGTAAATCAATCAGAGGTTGACAGTAATGGACCGTTTAGATTTATTGTTTGTTTCTTAAGGCACGCTGCAGATGGGCGAGAGAGATAGTGATTGGATGAGATGATGAACTTCTATATACACATTACAACAAACTGGTTTAAAGATTATAAAATGTTGGGATACAAAAATACACGGAGATTAAAAACCATTTCTGTCAACGTTCGTCTGTTTACAACCTGTCAATATTGGGATTGTCTTGTTGGTTGTGTATGTACATTTGTAGGTCATTTATGGCTGTAAGTTTGGGTCGTTTATAGCTGTAAGTTTAGGTCATAGCTCAGTTCATCAACAAGAACTGCAATCCAAACGATGTTTGTTATCGATGGTCAAATGTAACTGCAAATTTGATGGTTGTCCAACCCTGTCAAACGTAACTGTAAATTTGATGGTTGTCCTTGTTTGTCAAACGTAACTGTAAATTTGATGGTTGTCCTACTTTGTCAAACGTAACTGTAAATTTGATGGTTGTCCTTCTTTGTCAAACGTAACTGTATATTTGATGGTTGTCCTACTTTGTCAAACGTAACTGTAAATTTGATGGTTGTCCCACTGTCAAACGTAACAGTAAATTTGATGTCTGTCCCACCCTGTCAAACGTAACTGTAAATTTGATGATTGTCCAACCCTGTCAAACGTAACTGTAAATTTGATGATTGTCCAACCCTGTCAAACGTAACTGTAAAATTTGATGATTGTCCCACCCTGTCAAACGTAGCTGTAAATTTGATGGTTGTCCAACCCTGTCAAACGTAGCTGTAAATTTGATGGTTGTCCAACCCTGTCAAACGTAACTGTAAATTTGATGGTTGTCCAACCCTGTCAAACGTAACTGTAAATGTTATGGTTGTCTAACCCTGTCAAACGTAGCTGTAAATGTTATGGTTGTCTAACCCTGTCAAACGTAACTGTAAATTTGATGGCTGTCCTACCCTGTCAAACGTAACTGTAAATTTGATGGCTGTCCTACCCTGTCAAATGTAACTGTAAATTTGATGGTTGTCTAACCCTGTCAAACGTAACTGTAAACCTTGTAGCTGTCGAGTCGGGCGATAATCTCTGGATGAGTGGTTTTAGCCACCTCCATGACCGTGTCGATGTTGGCGTTGATCCGTTTCCGGTCTCTGTTGTAGATGCCTGCTATCTGTCTGACGTCATCCACCATTGGGGGCGGGGCGGTGGCCACATCGAGGGCGCACTCGTAGCTGATCCTCCTATCTGGCGCCCCCAGGAACTCTGCCAGCTGAGGGGAGGGGATGAGATGGAGGTACAGCAGGATATGAGTTTGTTAAAAGAACATTTATGGGACGGAGTGGCCTAGCGGTAGAGAGCTGGACTGCTAACCCGTAAGTCTCGAGTTCGAATCCGGGTTCAAAGTCAGTACGCCGTCCCTGAGTCCACCAAGCTCTGATGGGTACCTAATTCACGTTAGGGTAAGTAAAGGCGGCTGGGCATAGCGCTGACCACACTATATCTTCATATGCCGAGGTCACAGAAACAAGTGAACTCTACTTCACTTACCCCGTAGACCGTCAGGTTAGTAGTATATTAGGTCCCTTTTGGGTCGGTTTTTTGGCGGAGGAGCGCAGGGTGAGGAACAATGACATATAGTAAAATACTCGGGAGCAGGATGCGCGGGATGCGCAATGACATATAGCAAAATACTCCCAGCCTGGCGCATCGGGATGGTGAGGAGCGGATGAGCAGGATGCGCAGGATGCGCAAAGACATATAGTAAAATACTACGCCAACTGGGGTTGGCGGAGGTGGTGGGGAAGTAGGTCACCTTTTGGTGACCTTGTGACGTAATCATTGACCTTGTGACGTAATTAGTGACTTTGTGACGTCATCACTGACCTAGTTACGTAATTTTAATGCGTTTTTAATTAGTTTTAATTTAATTTTTAAATTTTAATTAGTTTTTTTTTTTTTAATTAGTTACGTAATTTAATTACTTTGTTTGTATTTTGTTTTTTAAATTTTAATTAATTTTAGTTTATTTTTTTTAATTTTTAAATTTTTTAAATTATTAATTTTAAATTTTATATTTGTTTATTTGTTTACTTGTTGTTTAATTTAATTACTTTGTTTATATTGTGTAATTTTTATTAACGAGTTACGTAATTTGATTATTTGTTTACTTTTTAATTATTTTTATTGACGAGTTACGTAATTTGATTATTTGTTTACTTTTTAATTATTTTTATTTTGTTTATTTTTAATTTTATTTTATTTTATAATTAGTTAAATTATTATTAACTAGTTACGTAATTTGATTTTAATTACTTTTGTTTATTTATTTATTTGATATATTTCTTTTCTTTGTTGTTTAATGTTGTTTATTTATTTGAATGTATGTATGTTTTAAATAAAAGACTAACACTAGCATGTACTAGAACAGTCTTTGTATAGGGACCATTCTCCAACACAACGAACGTTACAAAAATAGAACATCCATTAAAGATAACGATCAGCCACAGCTGTTACGTATCGACCCGCCCGCGAAGTTTTCTCACCGCTGCCCGTTTTAATGGGAATGTATTGATCGCAGCCGCTGGCCCATCACAGCATGATGTCCCACCTAATTAAATTTTTTTGTTATGCTTCACCGAGTTACCCCCGCTCGGTTGACGGGTTATGGTAATTAACGACATACATTAAGTAGCTTTCCGCGAAGCACTTAGGTCATTATGCAACAGCTGTTGTGCGACAGCTGGTGCTGTAATTAGGCCGTTCAACCGGATAAATGACCGCGAAAATTGTGTTCTAATCACTTCAACTTCGGACTTCAAATCAAGCGTCACCGCGACTTATCCAGCCTGCGACCTCTGTTGACTCCTGAGACTAAACCCACGCCAGCTTTACCAACCATCACATCCACCTAACCCTATACGGACCACATCTTTTGTGCGTGTTTATTCTATTAAAGGTAAGGTTAATATTACTTTTTGTTTTAAGGGAGCTAACCCCATTAAAATACCCTTTAAATAAATAAGTATCTAAATAAGTATTCATATGTATTCCTTTTAGTGTACAACCGACCCTACGAGACAGACTAACCATCGACCGAACCTATTGAGCTACCTACCCATCCCCGAGGCACCCACTGAACCAAACGTTCCAGCTACATCCAACTACACCATTTCGGATCTCCACACACAGCTAACTTCACGTTCAGCTTACGCGTTCAAACCCATAGGTACGTTCATTTTTAATTTTGTTTTAAGTATGATTTTTGTTTCATGCATTTTATTTTATGTATTTATTTTTATTCTACAGCCAGTGACCTACCCAGTCATCCAACTACTAGACACTTCGTCAATAATGCAAACCGCCCAGTCTACCACCCATCCAGCCATGAGCCGTAACAAGTGTGACATATGCAACCGTGTGTTCACCCGCAAAGACGGTTTGACAAGACATCACGACTCTGTTCACCGCCGACAAGGACATCTCTGTACAACATGCGGGAATCTATTTACACGACTTGACAATTTAACAAGACATTGTAAAACAACACACACCAACCAAACATCACCGACCGACACCCCATCAGCAACCGATAGACAAACTCCACAACCACTATACGTGACCGACAGACAAACCATGCAACCCCTAGCAGCGATCCAAACAACTCGTACCATGACCAACACTATTCCATTAAAGCGACATACGATGTATGACGACATACCAAACAACAAACGCGTAAAGACTAACAACGACAGTAACGTTAATTCACACACCACTATTTTTCCTGTAGACGACCTACCCATGATACGTTATACATGTGACATATGTGAGCATGCATTCACCTGCAAACATGGTTTGAAACGACATCACGATACGGCACACAGACGACGAAGACATACATGTAGAGAATGTTTGCAAGAATTTACAAGAAAATATAATTTAACGAACCACTATAAAATACCACACACCATCAAAACATTACCAGACGACACATCAGCGACCGACACGAATATCCCATAGGATGACTTCTCACAGACATCTCCTTACACCCAACACAGAAACTCACTTTCTTACTTTTATATTAAAAGACAAGTAGACACAATGTGACATCTCCCCTAGACTGTAGACCGATGGGGTTGTTTTTATTCAATAAAAATTTATTATATATGGTCTTTTGTGATTTTTTAATGTGTTATTGTTTTGTTACTTGTCCCTGAAAGTTATGTAACTCGGTATCCTGTATAAGAGGTATGACTGGAATCAAAATCACGGGAGAGAACGTGACGTACATCGCGATATTTGAAAACAGGGCGATGTTTAACCTCAACCAAAAAAGACAATGAACCTAGAAGGAAGACGAATATATATCTTAGTCTTGCAGCAGATTACCTTCCCATGTTCGCTTTAGTATTACAGTTTTCATCAAACTTCTTTTTGACTTGAACTTCGTTAATTTTTAAGAAAGTTTACTTATACATAATACATTACGTCTAATGACAATTTTTTATTTTTACCACTCAATGTATTTTCTTTTTCTATATCTTACATTGTCATCTTAATTTTTGATCACCTTAGTAAAAATTTGCTTAAGATTATAAACTTCAAGTTTTAAAAAACAACAACGTTATAGTACGTCGTGTCAAATGACACACCGTTTAAAATGTCTACATTTAAAGTTCACCAAAATAATGACGTAAAATCTAAATATGATATGACGTTAGCATACATATCATTCAACCTAATCACTCTAAAGTACAAATCAATAATTTTTATTGATTAAGGGGCTGGGTGAGTTATTTTTATTCGGGTGCCCAGGGAAGGTTTGGAGTTGGTTGGGACAGATTTTATACACGAGTCGGTGACGTTTTCACCGAGGCAGGGTTCGAATCTAGACCATGCATGTTTTGGAATTGTTAGGGAGAGTTAAACTAAGGTTGGTGAAGTTTTCACCGAGGTTGATTTTGAACTCGGAACATTCATGTTTTGGAATCGGTAGGTGTAGAGTCCATACTAGGGTCGGGGAGTTTTGCTAACACTGAGGCAGGTTGCAAAGTTGGCACATGCATGTTTAGGAATTGATGGTAGCCGAGTTCATACTAGTGTCGGTGAAGGTTGGTTTTGATCTCGGAACATGTATGTTTTGAAATTGTTGGTAACCGAGTTCATACTAGGGTCAGAGGAGTTTTTGTTAACACCGAGGCAGGTTGCAAAGTTGGTACATGCATGTTTAGGAATTGTTGGTAGCCGAGTTCATACTAGTGTCGGTGAAGGTTGGTTTTGAACTCGGAGCATGCATGTTTTGAAATTGTTGGTAACCGAGTTCAGACTAGGGACGGGGGTGTTTTCACCGAGGCAGGTTACAAAGTTCGTATATGCATCATTGGAATTGTTAGGTAGAGTTAAACTAAGGTCGGTGAAGTTTTCACCGATGTAGGTTACAAAGTTGGTACATGGATGTTTAGGAATTGATGGCAGTCGAGTTCATACTAGGGTCGGGGAATTTTGTTAGCACTGAGGCAGGTTGGAAAGTTGTTACATGCATGTTTGGGAATTGTTGGTAGCCGAGTTCATACTAGTGTCGGTGAAGGTTGGTTTTGAACTCGGAACATGCATGTTTGGGAATTGTTGGTAGCCGAGTTCATACTAGTGTCGGTGAAGGTTGGTTTTGAACTCGGAACATGCATGTTTTGGAATTGTTGGTAGCCGAGTTCATACTAGTGTCGGTGAAGGTTGGTTTTGAACTCGGAACATGCATGTTTTGGAATCGGTAGGTGTAGAGTCCATACTAAGGTCGGTGAAGTTTTCACCGATGGTGGTTTCAAAGTTAGTACAGGCATGTTTTGGAAGTGTTAGGGGCCGAGTTCATAGTAGTGTCGGTGAAGGTTGGTTTTGAACTCGGAACATGCATGTTTTGAAATTGTTGGTAACCGAGTTCATACTAGGGACGGGGGCGAGGGCGGCGGACAAAGTTGTCGATGTAGGTAGGGTGCAAGAGATATTCAACGAGGAGTGGTGTCTATAAGTTATGTATCCCAGTCTGTTGGAGTGGTTTCTAGGGGGTTGTAATATTAGTTGAATAAATATTTGTCTGTAGGATTGTCATATAGCCTTTGTCTCTTAAATGGAATAGGTATAGTGCGGGTAGTAGTAGTAGTACGGTCTGTTTATCTAACGGTTGGTATTGAGGTTAGTGTGATGACGCAAGGTTGGATGGGAGAAGGGGAACGGGGTTGCGGACAAAGGGAAGGGGAAGGGCGAATAGTGATAAAAATAACTCACCCAGCCCCTTAATCAATAAAAATTATTGATTTGTACTTTAGAGTGATTAGGTTGAATGATATGTATGCTAACGTCATATCATATTTAGATTTTACGTCATTATTTTGGTGAACTTTAAATGTAGACATTTTAAACGGTGTGTCATTTGACACGACGTACTATAACGTTGTTGTTTTTTAAAACTTGAAGTTTATAATCTTAAGCAAATTTTTACTAAGGTGATCAAAAATTAAGATGACAATGTAAGATATAGAAAAAGAAAATACATTGAGTGGTAAAAATAAAAAATTGTCATTAGACGTAATGTATTATGTATAAGTAAACTTTCTTAAAAATTAACGAAGTTCAAGTCAAAAAGAAGTTTGATGAAAACTGTAATACTAAAGCGAACATGGGAAGGTAATCTGCTGCAAGACTAAGATATATATTCGTCTTCCTTCTAGGTTCATTGTCTTTTTTGGTTGAGGTTAAACATCGCCCTGTTTTCAAATATCGCGATGTACGTCACGTTCTCTCCCGTGATTTTGATTCCAGTCATACCTCTTATACAGGATACCGAGTTACATAACTTTCAGGGACAAGTAACAAAACAATAACACATTAAAAAATCACAAAAGACCATATATAATAAATTTTTATTGAATAAAAACAACCCCATCGGTCTACAGTCTAGGGGAGATGTCACATTGTGTCTACTTGTCTTTTAATATAAAAGTAAGAAAGTGAGTTTCTGTGTTGGGTGTAAGGAGATGTCTGTGAGAAGTCATCCTATGGGATATTCGTGTCGGTCGCTGATGTGTCGTCTGGTAATGTTTTGATGGTGTGTGGTATTTTATAGTGGTTCGTTAAATTATATTTTCTTGTAAATTCTTGCAAACATTCTCTACATGTATGTCTTCGTCGTCTGTGTGCCGTATCGTGATGTCGTTTCAAACCATGTTTGCAGGTGAATGCATGCTCACATATGTCACATGTATAACGTATCATGGGTAGGTCGTCTACAGGAAAAATAGTGGTGTGTGAATTAACGTTACTGTCGTTGTTAGTCTTTACGCGTTTGTTGTTTGGTATGTCGTCATACATCGTATGTCGCTTTAATGGAATAGTGTTGGTCATGGTACGAGTTGTTTGGATCGCTGCTAGGGGTTGCATGGTTTGTCTGTCGGTCACGTATAGTGGTTGTGGAGTTTGTCTATCGGTTGCTGATGGGGTGTCGGTCGGTGATGTTTGGTTGGTGTGTGTTGTTTTACAATGTCTTGTTAAATTGTCAAGTCGTGTAAATAGATTCCCGCATGTTGTACAGAGATGTCCTTGTCGGCGGTGAACAGAGTCGTGATGTCTTGTCAAACCGTCTTTGCGGGTGAACACACGGTTGCATATGTCACACTTGTTACGGCTCATGGCTGGATGGGTGGTAGACTGGGCGGTTTGCATTATTGACGAAGTGTCTAGTAGTTGGATGACTGGGTAGGTCACTGGCTGTAGAATAAAAATAAATACATAAAATAAAATGCATGAAACAAAAATCATACTTAAAACAAAATTAAAAATGAACGTACCTATGGGTTTGAACGCGTAAGCTGAACGTGAAGTTAGCTGTGTGTGGAGATCCGAAATGGTGTAGTTGGATGTAGCTGGAACGTTTGGTTCAGTGGGTGCCTCGGGGATGGGTAGGTAGCTCAATAGGTTCGGTCGATGGTTAGTCTGTCTCGTAGGGTCGGTTGTACACTAAAAGGAATACATATGAATACTTATTTAGATACTTATTTATTTAAAGGGTATTTTAATGGGGTTAGCTCCCTTAAAACAAAAAGTAATATTAACCTTACCTTTAATAGAATAAACACGCACAAAAGATGTGGTCCGTATAGGGTTAGGTGGATGTGATGGTTGGTAAAGCTGGCGTGGGTTTAGTCTCAGGAGTCAACAGAGGTCGCAGGCTGGATAAGTCGCGGTGACGCTTGATTTGAAGTCCGAAGTTGAAGTGATTAGAACACAATTTTCGCGGTCATTTATCCGGTTGAACGGCCTAATTACAGCACCAGCTGTCGCACAACAGCTGTTGCATAATGACCTAAGTGCTTCGCGGAAAGCTACTTAATGTATGTCGTTAATTACCATAACCCGTCAACCGAGCGGGGGTAACTCGGTGAAGCATAACAAAAAAATTTAATTAGGTGGGACATCATGCTGTGATGGGCCAGCGGCTGCGATCAATACATTCCCATTAAAACGGGCAGCGGTGAGAAAACTTCGCGGGCGGGTCGATACGTAACAGCTGTGGCTGATCGTTATCTTTAATGGATGTTCTATTTTTGTAACGTTCGTTGTGTTGGAGAATGGTCCCTATACAAAGACTGTTCTAGTACATGCTAGTGTTAGTCTTTTATTTAAAACATACATACATTCAAATAAATAAACAACATTAAACAACAAAGAAAAGAAATATATCAAATAAATAAATAAACAAAAGTAATTAAAATCAAATTACGTAACTAGTTAATAATAATTTAACTAATTATAAAATAAAATAAAATTAAAAATAAACAAAATAAAAATAATTAAAAAGTAAACAAATAATCAAATTACGTAACTCGTCAATAAAAATAATTAAAAAGTAAACAAATAATCAAATTACGTAACTCGTTAATAAAAATTACACAATATAAACAAAGTAATTAAATTAAACAACAAGTAAACAAATAAACAAATATAAAATTTAAAATTAATAATTTAAAAAATTTAAAAATTTAAAAAAATAAACTCCAATTACGTAACTCGTTAATAATAATTAAACTAATTAAAAAATAAACAAACAAAATATAAACAAAGTATTTAAATTCATTAAAATCAAACAAATAATTAAATTATGTAACTAATTAAAAAACTAATTAAAATTTAAAAATTAAATTCAAACTAATTAAATCAAACTAAAATTAATTAAAATTTAAAAAACAAAATACAAACAAAGTAATTAAATTACGTAACTAATTAAAAAAAAAAAAAAACTAATTAAAATTTAAAAATTAAATTAAAACTAATTAAAAACGCATTAAAATTACGTAACTAGGTCAGTGATGACGTCACAAAGTCACTAATTACGTCACAAGGTCAATGATTACGTCACAAGGTCACCAAAAGGTGACCTACTTCCCCACCACCTCCGCCAACCCCAGTTGGCGTAGTATTTTACTATATGTCTTTGCGCATCCTGCGCATCCTGCTCATCCGCTCCTCACCATCCCGATGCGCCAGGCTGGGAGTATTTTGCTATATGTCATTGCGCATCCCGCGCATCCTGCTCCCGAGTATTTTACTATATGTCATTGTTCCTCACCCTGCGCTCCTCCGCCAAAAAAACCGACCCAAAAGGGACCTAATATACTACTCAGGTTTGAAATTGAACTTTACTTACTTAAAAGAACATTTTAAACCATAAGTTAAAATAATCTCATTTGTATTGTAAGCTAAATTTTAAACCATGGATGACTTGCTGAAGCTTTTAAAGTTATATGTCATTAATGTATTATGTAAATGATACCTTGAGCAACTCCGTTAGAGGGGCCTCTACCAGGTCCTCGTAGAGCAGGACATAGGTGGGCAGGGCGCTGGTCAGCCACGCCCTGTACGTCGGTGCCCACAGGTAGTCGCGCTGCCAGTCTGGAAGATAAGATGGCGGATCACAGGGACCACTAATTCGTCATTCAAGTATTAAGTAATGTCAGTAATTTTCTAGCACTTGACACTAGGGACTGTTGCTTTGTACTCATACAATACATAAGATTTCACAAAACAAACAAAACAACGTCTCCACAGAAATTGCGCAGACAGAGATAGCACAAACAGATATTGCGCAGACAGAAAATTGCGCGGACAAAAAACAACCTTCAACAAACGACCCAATTTCTGAATGTGGTAGCTTCTGCTCCAACCATCGTCAGACTAATGTATCGACACAAGCAGCTCCCCTCCCCCAGAATACACAGCATGTCTGGTACCTATAGCCCGGGGACGGCTTATGTTTTTTCTTCACGATACATAAATGTATGGTACCTATAGTCCTCCCTCCCCTCCCCCACCCTTAACGAAATGTAATTTATATAGAAAATATATACTTTACCAGTGTCCGACCAAACGGAATAATAAGTCCGCCACCCCCTTCCCCTGAGAAAAAAGTCTGATAGAAACACAACATGTCCGGTACCTATAGCCCGGGGACGGAAGAGCTTATGTTTTTCCTCCACGCTGTAGGGGTTGCTGATGACGATGACCCCCCTCTCAAAGTTCTTGTCCGAGGCGGCGTGGGTCTGGATGGCGATCTTCTTGCTCATCTGGTACACGCTGGCCGCGTTGCCGGACTTGAGGTTGGCCATGACGTCATAGATAGAGTCCGTCTCCTCGCCTGAAATCGTAGGTTAAAAAAAGTCAATCAACGATTGGTTTTGTGCGGGCCAGTCATTTTAAACGAAACTGCTGGTCATAATATTTTATTTTCAATTATACTAGTCGTAAAAACAAACAAAAAAGCAGCGAATATAATTACAATGTCTATTAACTTCGAGTTAAAGCAACCTACCCGTCAGCTGTTCGAGAATTTTTCTCAGCCAATCAGTTGTTGCACCGGGAAATGCAACAAGCGCTGTGATTGGATGGGACGTTTTAGCCAACTTCACTTGTCGCGGGCATGTGATGACGTCATCGTTTCCTGCACTTGTGTCGTTTTGAATTGGCGATTGTGGTACGTCTATGAACATGTTGTCTGCGTGAGAGAACAACTCACGACCAGTGCCCTGGCGCTGAGGTTCTGGGGCCAGTGGCTGCTGGCCTGATAGGTCTGGCTGTCCTGGTAGTTGTTGCTGCTGTCCTAACAGCTGCTGCTGCTGTCCTGACAGGTCTGGCTGTCCTGATAGCTGTTGCTGCTGTCCTGAAAGGTCTGGCTGCTGTCCTTGTACTTGCTGCTGTCCTGACAGGTCTGGCTGTCCTGACAGCTGTTGCTGCTGTCCTGACAGCTGTTGCTGCTGTCCTGACAGGTCTGGCTGTCCTGACAGCTGTTGCTGCTGTCCTAACAGCTGTTGCTGCTGTCCTGACAGCTGTTGCTGCTGTCCTAACAGTTGTTGCTGCTGTCCTGACAGGTCTGGCTGTTGTCCTGGCTGTCCTATCAGCTGTTGCTGTACAGCTGCTGCAGGCTGTTGACCAACATCTCGCGAGATCTGCCCGGCCTGTGCCTGGTTTCTCTCCTCTGGTGGTCTCATGGCCTCGGGATCTTGCAAGATTTTTTGTATCGGCTGATCTTGGAGGCTTATGATGCCACTTGCTGGTGCATTATTGTAGGACTGTGGTTGAATGTTGGACGGTTGTTGGATGTTGTTTGACTGTTGGCTGTTGTATGGTAGTTGAATGTTGGATGGTTGATTGTCGGATGGTTGTTGGTTATTGTTTGACTGTTGGCTGTTGTAGGGTGGTTGGTTGTTTGATGGTTGATTGTTGTATGGTTGATTGTTGGATGGTTGGTTGTTTGATGGTTGATTGTTGGATGGTTGATTGTTGGATGGTTGATTGTTTGGAACTTGTAGGCTGTCAACCAGCATTTGATTGTTGGGCGGTTGATTTTGTACATCGGGTTGAAGCTGGTTGTTAGATTGTTGATTGTAAGACGGCTGTTGATTGTTGATATTTTGTAGATTGTTGATATTTTGTTGACTGTTGATATTTTGTTGATTGTTGTTATTTTGTTGATTGTTGATATTTTGTTGATTGTTATTTTCTTGATTGTTGATATTTTGTTGATTGCTGATATTTTGTTGACTGTCAACACCGGGTTGTAGCTCGCTGACCTGAACAACAGCCCATTTTTCATCGTTCACCAACTGGTCGCCCTCGTGTCTGGGTGGTACAGCAGTTGTTGCATTGAGTACAGTGGCGTTGTAAGGCTTCGTGCGGTAAAGCATGAACTCCTCTTCCGTCAGAGGGGTTGGGTTGTCATACTGCGGGTTCAAGTACGAAGAGGCTGTTGTTTTCTTAAACTCATCATCGTATAGACTGGTGGTTTGGTCTGGGGGTATCGGCCCGAACCCAACCCCGTCACTCTGCTCGTCTAAATACTCTGTACCGTTTATAGGCTGCGACTGGTATAAACTGTTGTTGTCTTTATACGTTGGTAAGCTGGCTTTTATATCAACCAGGTTTGTGTTGGGTGGGTCAACTAGCTGTTGGGGTGAAGGGGGACCACCGGGTAGATGGGGTGGTGCTCCCAGGTTCTGCTGGGAGATCTGTGGACGCTGGGTGAGACGCTGAAGTAGATCCTGCAGGGAGTTGAGTAGATCGTTCTCTAGAGGGACGTTGGAGTTGGCGGCTTGAAGCAGCTGGAGCAGCCGTAAAGGATCTCTGTTGTCAGCGGCGTGTCTCTGCTGCTCTGAGGGCTGTTCAGGGGCGAGGATGTTTTCCTGCTGCTGACTCGGCTGGTTCTCTAGCATGTTCATTTGAACAATTCGTCCAACACGTGACTGGGTGTCTGCGTCGTCATGGTTACCTGGTCCGACTTGAATGAGATCATCGTAGATCTTCTTCAGGGGATTGTCGTTCACCGGGGAGCCGTCTTTGACCGCTACTGAATGATCGATGTTGGTCTCATCAATGTCGTCATTAACTATTTCATCTGCTTTAATTTGTTCATAGTATTCTGGCGTCAAAGTCACACTATCGGAGACCATGTTATCATTGTTGATTACTAATCCATCCTCGCCATCGTTTTTATCTGTAATTTCATCGTTGTTTTCTAATTCAACTTTGTCATTGTCATAAATCTTGCCGTCGTATTCAGTTTTTTCTAATTCAACATTTTTATCATTCAATTTCGCCTCGACAAAGCCATCACTTTCCTTGTTCTCGCTCACTTCTTTGTTTCTGTTATTGATGAAAAATTCCTCGTGTTCAAACCTAAAACTTCTGAACGCGTTGCTCGGGTCCACAAAATTAGCCGGCTCTCCTAGTTCTGCATCGAGATCTACGTCGTTTATTTTCTTCTCTTCTCCAGCGTCCCCTGTAGCGAAGGGAAGGAACTTGCGCAAACCGAGCAGCGAGTTAAGGAATGTATCAGGGTCTGCTGCAGGGTTCTCGTACACGACGTCATCAACGTCTGCTTCAGGATTCTGGCTTGTGACGCCTTCTTCTGTCTCGTTAATGACGTCATAGACGGATGGTTCTTCAGGCCCAGGACTGGTTTGACCGACATTCTCCTGGTCTACATCTCCCTGAGAGCTATCCTGGATAGCGTCTACGTTCTGTCCGAATTCGTCCTTGTTTTCGGACACGTCTACCCATGTTCCCAAAACTTGCGAGTTCAACGAACTGTTAGTCCCTCCGCCCTCCCCCTCACCTCTCTTACTGAAGTTCAGTCCAAAATTCGTGTCAACTTCATTCAGAACATTAAACTCCAGAGCGGTTTCCTGAAGCAGCGGTCCACGCTCTTCCTGTGAGTCGTTGGAAGCAGCCTTGACCTTGTGTTGAATGAGATCGTTCGCGGTCTTGTACTGCCTCTCTATGCTGAGGAACAGTACGATGGCGAGAATTGTGCCGAGCAGGAATCTCAGGCCGAATTTTTTCATGGTCTCTTCTGTCATCGGTGCTGACGCCTGCTGAGACGCCCGGGTGTGAGTCGAAGTTGTAACCTACGGGTGTCTGTGTGACTCCAAGTTGTAACTACCAGCTGCTGATATGCCGAGTGCTTTTGATTCAAAGTTGTAACTACCAGCTGCTGATATGCCGAGTGCTTTTGATTCGAAGTTGTAACTAACAGCTGCTGATATGTCGAGTGCTTTTGATTCCAAGTTGTAACTACCAGCTGCTCAGATGCCGAGTGCTTTTGATTTAAAGTTGTAACTACCCGAAGCACATAGGCTTCTTGATTATCTGAAGGAATTTATGGAAGGAGTGATCTGTATAAAATATCTTCACGAAGTTGATTTAAGCGAAAATCATGAAATAATATTTCATCCTAAATACGTTAACAAATAACAAGTTAAACTCACGAATAATGAAAACAATTTTAAATTCTCAAACTGTTAAGATTAATAAATCAAACAGTAGATCTTACAGAGAAGTATTTTATTGTTTACCAATTGTACTTAAGTATATCACACGTCTGAACCATCGAATGTGCACACGAAGACAGATTGGTGTGTAGCTAGTCCATCCAAAAGTCTCATCACTCGTCCACCAGTGAACTCAAGAGATAAACTAAAAGGTGTATTAGTGTCCCTAATACACCAGGTTGGTCATATTCAAATATCGAATATTGATCGGTGCACGTGCTTATCTGGGTCAACGATTGGCCGCAGGAAGATGATGAACGTCATCTTGTTGTTTGGCGCACGTGTCATTTGTTGCTACTAATTAATGATTAAAATTAAGTTAGATTGATTGTTAATATTGCAATGTTTCATAGGAGCTCCTTTTTTAATGTGAGGGTGAGTAATTGTAGGTTTCGGACATGTGGGGGTAGGTTGCGGTAGGTTGGGGTCTTTAAAGGTAGGTTGGTATAGGTAGGTTGGGAGCTTTATATTTGACCAGTGAATATAGTTTGCTGTATGCTTGCATAGAAAATATTTGAGTCTAGTGTGCATGCTACAATTGAAATTACTGCGCACATCTCTTTCGATTTACACTTGTAATATTTTATTACCCCCGGCTTACGACATGAACAGCTTGACTTGAATTCAGTGTGTTTAAGTGTGGTAGGGCTATGGTATGACGTTTGTTAGGGGTGAATTATTTTCTTACGCCTTAACAGTTGTTTAGTATTAGATAGGTTTATGAGGATTGGCCATCTTTAGGTCATCTGAACTACGGTGGCCAAGTTTCTTTAGGTCATCTTATTTACAGCGGCCAAGTTTCTTTAGGTCATCTGAATGACGATGGCCAGGTTTCTTTAGGTCATCTGAATTACGGTGGCCATATTTCCTTAGGTCATCTGAATGACGGTGGCCAGGTTTCTTTAGGTCATCTGATTTACGGTGGCCATGTGTCTTTAGGTCATCTGAATTACGGTGGTTTAGGGTAGATTGGTTAGGCGTGAGCAGGTGTTTAAAATGACAGTTTACGTTATGTTTACAGAACAAGACAAATATTTGAACGAAACAGAATATTTTATTACTAAACAAAACCAAGAATTTTTTAATTGATCTAATACGTATCGATAAGCTAAGAACAGAATATGCTAACTGTGAAAGCAGAATTACGATCATATACAATTCTGGAACAAAAATTTATATTGTTAACATTCACTGTAAATATAACGATGAAACGCGTCGTGATTATTTCAGAGGAAAAAAAAAAGATCCATCGTAACTACAGTAACAAATACTGGTCAATGACGTCAATAGGCTTTCTGCTGATTTGGCAGTTCTGTACTCCATGCTGTTGGAAACAGAGTGGTGGGTAGGGGGTGGGGAAAGAAAAGGGAAGGGGGGTGTCTTTAGAAGACCAGCCTCTTTTTGACCTTACCAATGACCCCACAGCAGGAATTATTGACATGTTTAGACAAAAGTTAAACCTTACAATACAAAGTATTGAAACTTATAACCGGAGCTAAACCTTACGATTTAAAGTATTGAAACTTATAACTGGAGCTAAACCATACAATCTTAAGTATTGGAACTTAAAGAGCCACGTTAAACCCACTTTATAATATAATGAAACTCTTAACGACAGAAGCTAAAATTACTACAAAAAGTACTGAATCTTAAAGTAAGAAGTTAAACTTTATAACATAAAGTATTAAATCCTGAAATCAGAAGTTAAACCCACTCTATAATAACCACCAGCTAATAGTTTAACCTGTGATATAATTCAGGTTTAACATCATCTGGCGAATTGTCGAAGATGTGTATTAGAAAAAATTTGACAGTATCAAATCAGATTTTAGCTCTCGTCAGAGATCGCTTGACAATAGCTCCAACTCACAGTAGAAACTCAGCCGTCACAATAGACAACTACACATTGTAAGATTCGGAATGTACAAAACTACACAAAAACGTTAGATATAAAACATACACAATCTTTAAATAGTTCGAACATTTTTGAATGACTTTTAATATCAAATGGCATTGATAAGATTTTAAAAGGTTTTTATTTTTTTCAATTGGAGATCATCTTACAGCAATCTTAATTTAAAAACAATTCGTTTGATTAATTTAATTAAACGTTGTAAAAGCCATTAAAGTCGTTTTAGTTATTAAAACATATCTAGACGCTAAACATTGATCTTAGCAATAGCAGATTGTTAAAAACTAAAATTGTAATCAGTTTAAAATTTAATGTAAAAGAAATGTATGCTTTAAAAAATCTGGCCACAAAGCCGTGAAAGCTTTTAAATACGCGCATGAATATCTGTCCCAAACGGGGTGGACTACTTTCTGTAAAATACAAGTTTGTCCGTTGTTTTTTTAATGCATCACAATAAAAATAAAAACATGATCACAACTCAGAAGTAGCAACAGTTCAGCTAATTAATTAGCATGGGAAGATAATTAGACACACAATTTTAGGACGTGTGTCGGTAACTAGCACACCAAGAAGATGTGTGCTAACACACTAGCACACCAAGAAGATGTCTGCTAGCACATACGTGTGACTACAAAACTAGTGGATCCACTTACAGCTAGTGATATATATTTATAAATGGAATTTTGTACAAGACATAGAAAACAGCCAAAGTATCACATTTTATTACAGATCAACATTCAAGTACTACAGCCGTGGCTAGCTTCAAGTAACACCAGCCATTATAGCTGCAGCTAGTCATCATTAGATTTGTACAAGCTTTCTCGCAACAAAACGATGATATGAAGATCATTTTTTTTTAAATTTCATGTTTTCAATGAACTGATGGTCCGACCCCTTTTCGGTGTCAACAAATGACGTCTATAAATAGTAACACGCGCTGGTTGTAATCCCATTGGGTGAACAGTGATCACGTGTCAAGGTGTAGCTCCTAGTTTTAAAACCACCAGAAACCGGAAGTTACTGAAACCATCTGGACACGTCATTCTTTAGGTCACTGCAGGCCTGATCGTGACCCGGAAACAGGGAGACGTCAAGGTCACCCGGTGACGTTTTGTACATGTCCTGCAGGAGCATCTCCAGTTGCAGGACGGGTGCGGGTATGACGTGGTTGTCCGCAGAGTTCCGGATGTAGACGGCGAATGCTGTCGTGTTGGTCTGAGGAGAGATGGCGTGGATTGTTAGAGCAGGCTTTGGTGGATTCATCAAGGTACACAATTGTGCCACATCACACAAACAAACAACAAAACAAAACAAACACTACACATAGTGAACTAAATCAAAGCATATAAATACACACCGTCAAAAGTAGACGAATGAATAGTGCTCACAAAAAGTAAACAAATAAATAAAAGTCATCAGAAATGTACACATGAACGTACCATACCAAAAGTAAGCAAATGCGTATAACTGATCATTAATTTAAAAAAAATGAATACACCACACCAAAATAAACACACAAACACACATTTAAATGAATCAAGCCTTGACCCACCCTCTCAAGGTCGTTGGACGTGTCGTTCCAGTAAATGCTGGAGCTGTTGTCCAGAGAATGGTTGGTCAGTGTGTACTGCTGGACACAGCATCCGGCCAGCCAAAACATGAAGGGCACACGGATGTTGTGGCCTGTCGTCTGCACTGGGTTGGTTGAGGGCATGATGCCTGTAGGGGCAGAATATGGCATTTAATGTGTGGGCAGATGACAGGTGTAGACAGGTGACATTTGACATGTGTAGACAGGTGACATGTGTAGACAGGTGACATTTGACATGTGTAGACAGGTGACATTTGACATGTGTAGACAATATGACACTCGACTTAAGTTCACGTAACCAACGTTAGTAAAACGTGTGCATAAAAAGTCGATCATGTCATTCTGACAACTAAATGACCGAACGAATTCACATCTAACAGATAGACATGCAGAAAGTTAATATATAATGGAAACACATTTTAAATGTCGACCACTGGGGGATTAACTGCCAATTCTCTGAAAGACTATTGAGTCACGTGACTTTTAAAATATTTTTTAACATGACCATCTATCTACCTGTACGTAGAGGGTTTTTTTTTTCAGAGGTGGGAGGATAAACTATTTTCTTAGGCGTCATTTAACCCATCTTAACCCGACTTAAGACGTCCATGACAACAAGAGATGACAACAATTATGCACCTGATATTGAACAAATGACAGACAAGTTACCCTGGCATGGAACAACCACCCCCCTCACCCCCCCCCCCCCCCCACCCCCACATACCTGAAGCCAGGTAGAGAGCTGACTTGTTGTACCTATGGCTGCTGAACTCGCTCACGTGCCTGAAGTTGAACAACCCCCCCCCCCCCCCACTATCACCTCCCCCCACCCCCATCACCCCCACATACCTGAAGCCAGGTAGAGAGCTGACTTGTTGTACCTATGACTGCTGAACTCGCTCACGTGTCTGAAGTTTGTGTCCACAATGGCTGGCACCCCACATTGTTCTATGGCGAAAGTCCGAACTTTCCTGATCGTCAGGTGCCACTCTGGGAGCAGAAGTGATTTCTTTATATATATATATATATATATATATATATATATATATATATATATATATATATATATATATATATATATATATATATATATATATATATATATATCATTAAAGTGGCAAAAAAATAATACTCTAAAAGCTTTGAGTTTTGGCTGGGGAAAAAAAGTAGACAGGAAGCAAAGAGAGACAACCGCGATAAAAAAAGGTAAAATAAGGGAAACAATTCATGATTGTATAAAGACAAATTAGCAGGGTGCTACCTTCAAATAGCTCTGCTAGCATTGGTGCCATGTTGGTCATCGTGAAGGTGGCCAGTCTTGTAGCTGGCTCAAATGGCATCAACTCAGGCCACATCAGGTGTGTTGGTCTGTAGCCTGTGGCATCTCTGGGGGTAGAAGGTGAGACCCGGTGTCATGTGGCGTGGGGTCAGGACTTTGGGTGACGTGTGGTGTGGGGTGTGGGTGGGGTCAGGGCTTAAGGTGTCATGTGGTGTGGGTGGGGGTCAGGACTTAAGGTGCGTGTGGTGTGTGGTGTGGGTGGGGTACCACTGGTGTAAGGTGTCACTGTGTCTAGTTTGAGAACTACTGGTGTGTTAATTAAACGAAGCATCCAATGGTCAGAACAAAACAAAACTTCACGATGTGAGATCAGCTTGGTTAAAACGGGAATAATTTAAAGTGGTTTTGCTTTATTTGGTCCGGAGGGAGGGTGGACGTATTCCTGGGTCAGTGACCCCGACAGAGGCGTAACGACTCCTCCCAGCGCCCGGGGACAAACTTTCAATTTGGCGCCCCCCCCCCTCCCCCCATATATATTTTTTTTATATTTATAATTCAAAACTGCAGCTAAAATACGCTTTTTATTTTTTCCCAACCCATTTTGGCGCCCTAGGGTCGGCGCCTGGGGACATATGTACCTCCACCCGCCCCCCTCCCCCCATCCGGATGGACGTCCGCAGAGTCGAGTGTGATGTCATACGACCTTACTTGTAGTCCTGTGGCAATACTTGACGGAGCCCTACGTCACAGCTCTGGTCGTCATGGCAACGGTCCAGGTCCAGAAGGGTTAACATTCCTTTTTTAGGTTTTCTGTAGAACCAAAGCATGGTCGTCTCTTTCTCCACCAGACCTGTGGGGTAGAAAGGGTTAATCCGTCAAAATGGGGTAAGAGTGTTAATTTGTCACAGTGGGGTGGAGAGGGTTAATATGTCAGGGTGGGGTGAGAGGGTTAATCTGTCAGGCAAACCTACGGCAAGAGCCCTTAATAGGCACCCGAATATTTTTGTAAAGAAATTAACATAGTATAACTACACAGGTCAACTACACAGTTCAACTACACAGGTCAACTACACAGGTCAACTACACAGGTCAACTACACAGGTCAACTACACAGGTCAACTACACAGGTCAACTACACAGGTCAACTACACAGGTCAACTACACAGGTCAACTACACAGTTCAACTACACAGGTCAACTACACAGGTCAACTACACAGGTCAACTACACAGGTCAACTACACAGGTCAACTACACAGTTCAACTACACAGGTCAACTACCCAGGTCAACGACACAGGTAAACTACACAGGTAAACTACACAGGTAAACTACACAGGTAAACTACACAGGTCAACTACACAGGTCAACTACACAGGTCAACTACACAGGTCAACTACACAGGTCAACTACACAGGTAAACTACACAGGTCAACGACACAGGTCAACTACACAGGTCAACTACACAGGTAAACGACACAGGTAAACGACACAGGTAAACTACACAGGTAAACTACACAGGTAACCTACACATGTGACCTACACGGGTCAACTACACAGGTAACCTACACAGGTAACCTACACATGTGACCTACACAGGTCAACTACACAGGTCAACTACACAGGTCAACTACACAGGTCAACTACACAGGTAACCTACACACGCCAACTACACAGGTCAACTACACAGGTCAACTACACAGGTCAACTACACAGGTCAACTACACAGGTAACCTACACATGCTACAGGTGTGCTGGTCTTACCGTGTTCAATAAAATAATCCGTGACCGGCCAGGTCTCGTCCCCCAGGGCCGTCACCCTGGTCAGTGACAGGATGGGTGACCTGATGCTGACGTCATACAAGGTGACGTAATGCGTGTCCTTGAACCCGAACGACTTGCCCATCCTAGTCTGCGCAGCAAACCTCTAAAGACGAAACATATTGGTGAGTAGCAAGGGTTAGATGGAAGCATTAGACCTGACACTAGTGAAAATATTAGATAATTCAACAGATAATTCAATTCCGTCCATAACCCTCTGGCAGATAATGCTTGGCCGTCCATACCACTATGACAGATAATTCTTGGCCGTCCATAGCTCTCTGACAGATAATTCTTGGCCGTCCATAGCCCTCTGACATATAATTCTTGGCCGTCCATAGCCCTCTGACAGATAATTCTTGGCCGTCCATAGCTCTCTGACAGATAATTCTTGGCCGTCCATAACCTCTGACAGATAATTCTTGGCCGTCCATACCACTCTGGTTTATACCTATGCGCTGTAGGGTCACCAGTAACCGAAAAGTTGGATAGCGCAGGAAATTTTCCAAAATTGAAGATACTCTACTCATTCTTATCTGAATGGATATCAGTTGAATAAAGTACAAAGTAATTAAAGTCTTAGATTTCATGTTGAAACTGAAATAGTTGCATTAGGCAAGTTTTGTTTTTCTCAGTAAAAGTGTTGAGAAGAGAATGCATTAGTAGCGATCTAAAAATAGAGCAACGCGTGATCGAAGTTTTGTCCAATCAACACTGGCCTGGCACAACATTCATGTTGGAGATGACGTCACTGACACTATTTCAGGAAATGACACCGGATGACTTCAATCCCACCTGACATCTTTCACGGAAGTCGTACGAAGGACCCCTCCCTCCCCCTCCCCATACACTTACAGCCCGTGAGTAAACTTTTTGAATAGAAAAGTGCTCACGTATTTGTCCTTTTACCCCAGGACAAATGTGGGAGGGGGGGGGGGCGTTCAGTGACTTTCTAGATGTCTGCTGCATTGTTGGTTCAGGTTTAACTGGTTCAGGTTTAACTGGTTCAGGTTTAACTGGTTCAGGTTTAACTGGTTCAGGTTAAACTGGTTCAGGTTTAACTGGTTCAGGTTAAACTGGTTCAGGTTAAAATGGTTCAGGTTAAACTGGTTTAGGTTTAACAGCTGCTAGAGTTTGACATGAGGGGAACCCGGTCGTTTCCTCATAGATGTTGATTTCAAAGTGTTTCTTTCAGACATTTTTCTCTTGGGAAGGAAGCAAGGTCGGGGTGAGCTGGGGGTGGACCTGCTTCGCTGAGCGCCGAACTCCCCCTTCCTCTGCTCCCTAATAGATGCCTGAAAGAAACCTGAGCATCAGTTTTCCAATCTAACCTGTATGTCTAGTCAAGCTAACCTGACCATCAGATGACATCGTACAATCCTTGTGCTATCCAATCACAATCATAATCTTACCCAATCACAATCCCCTAGTGCTGACTTCTTGACTTTATTAATTTAATGACTGCTAGTCGTTTATAAAAGTTAACAATATACGTCACAAAATAATTAGTCAATATTATACCTTGTAATCGTAACTTCAATCAAGAATCAATTAGGTTCTTTTACTCTGAGTATCGATACACAATAATGACACATTCTTCAGTATCGATTCTATCGATTTTTAAAACTGAAGTTTTTTTTTGTTTGGAATTGTATTGAAAGTTTTTTATTTACTCTTTAAGTAGCTTGGGAATATTGATCTGCTGGGATGCTACATTTTCTAGGCCCTGTTGTTAAGTGCTCAATCATTGATCGGGTACTTGGGGAGGGCTAGGGAGGGGCTAGGGAGGGGCTTGGGTTAAGTGTTCAATCAATGATTGGTAACATAGGAAGGGCTTGGGTGGGCTTGGGTGGGCTAGGGTTAAGTGGTAAACCAATGATTGGTAACATAGGAAGGGCTTGGGTGGGCTAGGGTTACGTGGTAAACCAATGATTGGTAACATAGGAAGGGCTTGGGTGGGCTAGGGTTAAGTGGTAAACCAATGATTGGTAACATAGGAAGGGCTTGGGTGGGCTTGGGTGGGCTAGGGTTAAGTGTTCAACCTTGATTGGTAACATAGGAAGGGCTAAGGGAGATCGAACTAAAGAGAAGAATGATGATTGGTAAGTTTAGCATGAATAGGGGCTAATTACTGATTGGATTAGGGATAGGGATGGGTCTGTCTTCAAAAGTTTTAGGTCAGCTTTTTTGGAAAAGCTATACCATATTACTAGTCAAGGTCTATTTACACAGTTCACCAAGGACTCAGCCTCTATTTAGAATTAATGTAAGTTAATATTTTAATAGTAGTAAGTTTTGAAGATATAAAATATCTTTTGGTGCTCGCTAAATGTTGAGTACACTTTTTAAAATGTTTGGTTAGTGCTTCCATATGTCCGACTGAAATCTGGGCAAGTCTTTTCACATCCCGGATTCGAACTCTTGACTTTAGCATAAGACACACTATTACACTGACGTCATTTGAAGACAGAAAAATAAAGCGTACCTGGCATATGAGGTAGACGACAGTTTGTTTGTTAGACAGCCCAACTGGCAACATCTCCCCGTAGACCAGATTTCTCCAGCAACCCTCGGCAAAGTCGCCTCTTTCTTTAGTCGGCTTGTTGGACACACATTTTTCAGAATTCTGGGATAAAAAGGTTGAATCCTAAAGGCCAAACAGTTTGTCAAACTCAGAGTAAACCTAGTTCAGAAAGTTATATATATATATATATATATATATATATATATATATATATATATATATATATATATATATATATATATATATATATGTATGTATGTATGTATGTATATATATATATAGATATATAGATATATATATATATATATATATATATATATATATATATATATATATATATATATATATATATATATATATATATATATATAGATATAGATATATATATATATATATATATATATATATATGTATATATATGTATGTATCTTTTTTTTAAATTGATTAATTTATTTATATTGTAGACCACAAAGCAATACTATTGTAATTCGAACGCGTGCTTTAAAAATCTCAACTTCTGTTACTCAAGACTTTGTTGAGTCCACCCAGCTCTAATTGGTACCTGAGTCCACCCAGCTCTGATGGGTACCTAGCTAGTCGAGTGAAACAATTACGGCTACGTATAAAACAAATCACATGAATGTTTCATATGCCGAGGTCAGAAGCTGACAAACTCTACTTTATCTACATCATATCAGACACGTGTTTTATTTTTGTTAACGTTTCATAAATTTCACTAAAAGAAGGAGACTACGAAAGGAACTTGACAGTTTAAAAGCCTCAAAGCCGCGGGGTGAGCTAATTATACTGTTCACAAACTGAGATTGTCCACTATGTACAGACTAGTCCAAATCTATACTGCCCACCATTCAGAAGTGACGTCTTCAAGAGGCCAACTCTCCAAATGACGTTGGATTCATCAGTCGGAGTCGGACACGTGTAGCCGGATCCGTGTAGCCGGACCCGTGTTTCATCTGCTGATCTCACGTCCCATCAAGCCGTCTGTGGTTTCCTAGCTCTCACATTTCCGGTTTTTTCTCCCCTTTTCTTCTCGGGAAATGCCGGACGTCACCGGCAGATGCACGGTGGGATATGCCGGCTTGAATGTGACAGACGTGCTTGCCCAAATGAGACGTTTTGATATGGAGGCTCTGGGGGGGGGGGGGGGCTCAGTGGGGCGCCGTCAGCCGTTTGCTTTCATCTTTTCTTCTCTCTGGGTTGTCAGTAGCCAGCTAATAATAACTTGGTCATTTTTTTTCAGGCTGAGGGCTCCCAGTAGTGACCTAATAATAACTTGGTCATTTTGTTTTGACCAAATACGTGAGTCGATATCGAGGTACAGACCCACCACGTCAATACACGTTTGACATCTGGATTTAATGAGATTTGATGAGTGGCTTCTGATGACACGAGCTTTAGATGTCTAATTAGCATAAGCCACACACACACACAACCACACATCACCACACAAAGAATGAAGACACACAGACGAACACAATACACACATACACACACACACACACACAGACACACACACGAGCATGCTCGTATATAAACATGTTCCTGCTGTGTTTGGACATCAAGTCCACGATACACTAACCATCCGAGAGTTAATTCCCCTGGTGTACGGTTTAACTCTATAAGGGCGATAACTCAGACAAAGCTTCCTTGTCTTAGACTTGCATGAACCAGCATTTTTATAATTACATCAGAAGCACAAACCCACATACTTACACCGATGTTTTACCCATTTCAATTGAAAACTTTTTTGCAGGAAATCAATCGCACTTCGACGCCGCCAGTTTTTAATCAATTGTCGCAGAATGTGGGGAGAGATTTCAGCTTTTTTTTTTTGTGAAAGCCAAACAAAAATTCAAAAGCTAGCAGGGGAGAGCACTCGAGGAGGTGTGAGCTAACTCTCCTGGGGCCATCTCAGCGGCTGCACGGAGCTCGAATGGCTGGCTGGAATTCTGGAAACTCGGGGGCCCTCACGTTCCTGACTTAACTGGCTAAGTGTTTGAAAAAATTCAAGTCCGACAACTCGATGATAAAAGTGAATATTTCAAGTCCGACAACTCGACGATAGAGGTGAATATTTCAGGCTAGACAACTCTGTGTTAACATAGAGAGCTTTTCATCGCCAGTGGTGGGAGGACGAAAAACAATTATTTTTAATGAGAAAATATGACGTCACTAATTTGAGAAGGAAATAAATATGGATTCTGATTTTTTTTACGGGATTTTAAAATAGAGACACTAGGATCATCAACACATTTATTTCTCCATTTCTTGTAAACAAGAAATTTAAATTTATTCATTTGCAATACCAAAAGTGTACTGAAATTGCCTCTGAATATAATTACACATTTGCATTTTCAGGTTTTTTTAAAAATAAAATTGTAATTAGACGTTTAATATAAGATCTATGTATAAGTAAACAATCTTTAATGAATGAAAGTAGGCTACAAGTAAGAAAGAAATATTACTATTGTAAATCTGTATCAGTCCTCACAAGCCGATGATGAAAACTGTAATACTAAAGCGAACATGCAAGACAAACTGACGCTGTAAATTACGAGACAAACTGACGCTGTAAATTACGAGACAAACTGACGCTGTAAATTACGTGACTGAGGCAAAAAAAAAAAATGAATGTATGCTAAACACCGCACTAGTAGCTAAAGAAAACACTTATAGTAGCCTACAATCAAGGCCTCATCAAGATTGAAATTAATTAATTATCACTTACAGACTTTCAGCGACTTACTAAAATAGCTTATGTTCACTAAAACACTATATGACTACTTACAATAAAAGGCCCAACCCGTTTTACTGTACACCAGGGGTCTCCAAACTTTTCAGACCGAGGGCCTCATCGACTATCAAATATCAGTTTGGGGGGCCAGAGTTTCTTCAGGGCATATCTTCGGTGTTATGGAGCCCCCCCCCCCCCCTTGAATGAAACATTGTCGAGGGCCGACAACACACTCGAGGTCCAAGTTTGCTCTCAAATTATTCTTCACGTATTCTACATCTATGGTTGAGCCCATGTGACCTTATCAAATTCGCCATCTTTACCACAGGATTCAGTACACTGCTAATGTCCATATATTTAGCGTTCATAGCTTGTTGATGAATAATAGAGTGCAGGAGCATTGGTTGTAGAATATTTTCTCATTCGCTTGTCCAACCAAGCCTTTCTTTATGCCACTCATGTACTTTCATCCATCAACAGTGAGGTAACTGAGGTTAGTCCAGTCCAAGTTATAATCAGAAAATGTTTTCTTTAACTCAATGAATATATCCTCTCCTGTAATAGTGCCATACATATTATGTAGGGAAGCCAGCTCTGTGTTATTTTCATGCTTTCATCCACACCCCTAATGAACGCACAGTTGAGAGGTTGAACAGCTGTCCAGCGACTCATCCATTGCAATTAAAAAATAGTGAAACGTGCTTGTATTTTTCGCTAGAGTCACAATGTTTTCACCAATGTCTGCAACCCGGTGGGCAAAGGTATTTGCACCCAAAGCTACATTTTCAAATTGTTTTGAATTTTCTGGGCAAAGTTCCTTAGCCACCTTTAACAGAATTTTTTTTCCGTGGACAAAATGATCTCCGCGGGCCGGATGAAAGGACCGCGGGCCGTAGTTTGGAGACCCCTGCTGTACACTAAAGACCTACTGTGTCACCAATGACCTACTGAGTTCCATAATATAGACCTACCTACTGTAGGGAGGGATCTATTGATTTTCCCACTGTAACTGTGTACTAGGTACCGACTATATCGCTAAGGACCTACTAACAAACACCAGGGACCTACAATATCGCTAAGGAGCTACTGACAAACACCAGGGACCTACTATATCGCTAAGGACCTACTAACAAACACCAGGAACCTACTATATCCCTAAGGACCTACTGACTCAACACTAGTCGACTCCCCTACGACAAGACCTACATCCAGAGACTGACCTTGCAGAAATCCCTGTAGTGCCGCCTGCAGTGCTCCTGTGGACTGCTCATCACCAGGTACTGACCACTCTTCCTGCTGCACCAGCGCTTGACCTTGCTCTTGGTCAGCAGGTCGGTCAGACCCCAGCGGAGGTAGACAAACTTCTGTCGGTAGGTGTCGTACAGGGAGTACTGACACACGTCTGGGCTGGGCTTCACCACCGTGGGGGGTGGGGATTTGGGTACGGGAGGGGGTGGTGGGGGAGCTGCCGTACATAAAACAGCTTTACACAAGTGATGTTGGAGTGGATTGTTGTAGCTGAGTTGTGTCAAAAAATCTTTACAGTAGGTTACTGACATGTGTCAATGACATGTGTCACATTGGCAGTACTGAAATGCCGTATCAAGTGAAATACTAAATGTCATTGACATATGTAATATTGAGAGTACTGTATTGCCATGTCACAAGTACTATAATGTTATGTCACCATTAATGTCATGTTATGTCACCAGTACTGTCATGTCACCAGTATTGTCGTGTCACCAGTAATGTCATGTCATGTCACCAGTCATCTCAACACTACAGTCATGCCATATCACCAGTTACCTTTCAGAAAACTATCCTTGCTGCCCGTATCCCGACATGCACCAGCGGGCATGGTGCCCATGTCCTTGACCTCCCCACACTGGTCACTCTGGGCATCCCCGCACGACCTGACCTGAACTCTGACCCCTTGGCATGCCTCGGCGCTGCTCTCGTCGGCCCGGCACGCCCTGACCCTGACCTTTGAACTCTTGCTGGCGGTGATCCAATCGGACCACTTTTCCCAGGAGGCGGGACCTGTCACATGACCAAAGTTATATTTAGGTCACACTTCCATCATGGTGTACCAGTTAATTTTACAGGAGTATTTTCAAAGTTTTAAAGTCAACTTCTCCGAAGAGTTAGTTCATTGATATTTAATTTGATTATGTTAAGTCAAATTAGAAAACTGTAATTACACCAGACTAGTCACCGTTAAAGTAACAGCTGTCTGTTAAAAGTTGAGATCTACTGGAGGTCATTGACCTCTGCCAGGTCCACTAAAGGTCATTGACCTCGGTCATTTCTACTAAAGGTCATTGACCTCTGTTACCATCAGCAACAGTTCCCAGGTTTGATGGACAGCTTCAATCACTGTAGGTCATTTCATTGGTCCCGTCCAGCTGTCGTTCTCGTCTGAACGTTGACCAAGTCCTGTCATGTCAACCTGCTGGTCATCGTGCTGACCACACCCATATTTTGGCCAGGTTGAATCAATCTAAAACCGCGCCAACATTTGTCCGTTTTTTACCTACCTATCCTATAAGGGTCCTATATACACTCGACCTGTATGTTGCACTAAAAAAATGTTTTCACCCCCTTTATACTTAACGTGACCACATCACTTACCCACCATACTTGAAAAGCAGTAATTCACAACGATTCAACCACATTACATAACCACAATCATTGACCACCATACTAGACCACAACTTTAACAGTAAAGTTTCTGATTCACCTAACGGCTTATAGTGCACATAGTTCTTTGACATGGGCATGTGATGAGAGAGTGGTCAGTTACCGATACTTTCCCCTGCCACGCCATCCCACGTACAATATCTAATCATCTACTGCAACGTTTTGTCAATGAGGATATCTTGGCGCACTAATTAACCCCCACCCACACGCACACACCCTCACGAAACTGTTGAGCAGCTGTATTACGACACACACACGCCGACTGAAACAAAGTGAATGACCTTACATGGAATCGTTTCTTCCACGGTAATCCCAGATTATCTGCAAGTGCTGACACTGCCACAATCTAAATACCAGATTATACTGTGACGAATGACTTACTACCACACATCTCTGTTGGATTCAAGCACCTTCATGGTGGATGGGTGTTTACCAAGTATTCGTCATTTCCATATGGCGTCACAGGATTGACGGCAAATTGGAAACTTTTTTTTTACATTTTATTGTCAAATGTTGGGGAAGAGGGGGGGGACGTGAGAATGGGTGTATACGTCACGCTGATGTCACGTGGGCCTAGAATGATGGGATAGGAGCATTTGGTTCCCTGCTAGTCTAGCAGACAACCTCTGCTTGTCATCCATATATAGCTAATCGATACATGAATGGGACCGTTTTTTAGAGTAACAGCGACTGGGATAGGTTCAGGATAGGTTGCTGACACTGGATCTAAGTGAGATTACACTATTACAGTTTTAAAGATAGGGGTTAGTGGTAGGTTGGGTGTAGTGATATAGATCTAAGTGAGATTACAGTTTTAAAGATGGGGGTGTTAGATAGGGGTTAGTGGTAGGTTGGGTATAGTGATATAGATCTACAATCACAACGTCAAAGCTTACAACCTAACTCCAATATGGGATTCACATACTGAGAAGAAAACTCACTTTATTTCTACAACATTCCTTTTGGAAACTGATCGTGGCATTTCAACACATATAGATTGCAGCCTGTTATTTTCATTTGTGTAGATAGTACAAAGGGGGAGGGGGGGGGTCAAAAATACAAAAACAAAACTTACTCAAAATCTGATTGGAAGAAATCTCCGCTTGACTATTGTGAGCAAAGTGGGAGTCAGCGTCATCCTCCATCCTGTTGGAGTCAGCGTCATCCTCCATCCTGTTGGAGTCAGCGTCGTCATCCATCCTGTTGGAGTCGTCTGGATCGTTATCGCTGTCGTCGATGCTGGGGTCTACGACTACGATGTGGTTGTCGTTGTTTCTCTTGGAGATGACGAAGTTGGTGTCTGAGGGTCCGGTCAGGTTGGTCTCGACCCCGCCCTCTGCCGGAGTAGAGGGAAAGGTAGTTGTAGTGGTGTGTCGGACATACAAGTACCGGACATACAAGTACCGGACAAACAAATACCGGACAAACAAATACCGGACAAACAAATACCGGACAAACAAATACCGGACAAATACAGTACGAATACCGGACATACAAGTACTGGACATACAAATACCGGACATACACATTGCAAGACAAACATATAATTTAATGGAATAACGCAACAAAAACAACAACGTAAATACTGTCACTACGTCCATTAAGAACGTTCTGATTAACGTTTTGCTGGTGTATCCTAATTAGAATAATAAAAAATACAAAGAGGGAGGACTGTTTTGACAAAGGTGTGTCAGTGTATGCTGTTTTATTTTTTTTTTTTAATTTTTTTAAGGGTGGGGGGGGGGGGTCTGTATTTGAAATGCCCCTTTGAAATGTGTGACAATTTTATTTAGAAATGTGTAAATAGGCATAAAAATAGACGTGTATATGGTGACATATTTACGTAACTATTTATAGAAAAAATGTATGACAGAAAAAACAAGTGACTGAGTGTGTACTCACCTTCAATGTCAAACAACAAGGAAATCATCTGCTCAGTCGAAGTCGACGTCGTTGGTGACGTCACAGTAGGGGTCAGCCTCCCGTTGGCGTCACGCACCGTCGCGTTGTCATCGTCCCCTGACCCCGATCCCGACCCCGAAGCGAAGAGGTCGTCGTCATCGAATGTGACGTCAGTGGTCTTGAAGTCTGAGCCGTTGTCCGCACTGACGCGGTGCTTGACCTGAGCTCTGACCTTGACCCCGCTATCCCGAGCCTCGGACTCGTCAAGGTCAATGAAGTCTTCGATTGAGACTCTGTTGGAAGGTTCGTCTAGAGGGGGGGGGGGGGTGAAATAAAGAGAAAAATTAAGTTTATAAAACTAGGCCAAGCTGCATGTAGGGGTCGCCACTTGATGTGACAGGTGCAGGATCGACAAAAGCTCTAGAATATTCTCCTGCAGATGCTGGACAATTCATCGTATAAAATATTCAATATTCGCGTATTTATCTTTATTTCACGGAATCGGTTTAAAATGACGGAAATTTATAATAAATATTTAGTTAGTGAACTGCAGTAGACAGCAGTTTATGGGCGCAGGGAGTCATGTGAAAACATGAGATACTCAAGTCATGTAAAACCTCAGTCATGTTGATATAACAGAGACACAAGTCAATTAAAACCTCAGTCATATTGATATAACAGAGACACACGTCAAGTAACCAAAGTAAACGCTTCAAAAGACCTTTCAAGAAGGCACCGGTTGGCCTCGAAGACATACAATGGCCAAAATTAAACACCGACTCAAAGATGGCCAGCTAAGACATACATGTTGTTGGCCAAGCAATACAGACACATTGGAAAAATGGCCAGACTTACATGGCCAAGGAGTACAGACACATTGGACACATTGGACAAATGTGCAAACAACAGCCCCAAACTTTTCATGTTTTCAATCCAGGCCGTGCTGCTGGGTGTGTCTACTAGTGCTGACAGTTTAATGGCCGGCTAGAACCGGCTTCCGGTCGTCTCCGGCGATGACCTTGTCTAGACGGCCGGCAAGAAACGTAACCCTGGCCATAAAGTGGTTTTACTTTTCCGGCTAATGGGTGGCCGTCCCTCGGTTAGTTAACCGGCAGTGTGTACACAGGTTTAACCGGGCAGCGTTCAAATCATATCAGACACACGTCGGGGTGTCGTAGTGGATTTTCCAGAAGATTTGTATCCCACATTGAGATCCCATGGTCCCTCACACACACACATTAAGTTCAACCCATGCTACCCGCCCCCCCCCCACACACACACATTGAGTTCAACTCCCCCCCACACACACACACATACACATACATATACACACACATTGAGTTCAACCCCCCCCCACACACACACACACACATACACACATACACACAGTGAGAGCAATAATTCAACCCATGCTAAGACCAGCCATTTCCAGAAAACTTGTCTCCTCCTGTATGATAAACTGTAGGACTGGGCCGTCGAAGGAAAGTATTGACTGACAAGGTTTTTCTTAAACCGGAAGTGTTCGTCAAAACTGTCAAATGTATCAAGGTGTCAAGGTGTCGTGACACATATGTTACCTGTACCAAGATAAGAGGCTGCTGTGTCAAAATGTACCAGTGATGTGTCGCGAGGTGTCTTGATGGTAAATGTTACAAGACACACAATTAAAGGTGTTAATAACAGAGACACACACATATATGCACACGATACACACATGTTTAAAACCTATCGATACAGTCTTATACGCACATCACACACACATTTGAGACCTATCGATAACAGAGACACACGCATATACGTACATCACACACACATACTTAAACCAGAATATAGCACACAGACACACAGACTAACGCCTACAAACTCACACACGCCCATACACACATACACACACGCCCATACATATATACACACGCCCATACACACACACACTCTCTCATACACACACACACACACCCATACACACACACACTCCCAGCATGCACCAATATTGACCAAACAACTTCCGATCCTTAGCGCCGACCCCCCCCCCCTATTCCCTCAGCTACACAAGAAAATAATCCATATCCCAGCCTGCCTCACTCCTTTAACCCATGACCCCTGTGGGCCATGAATTCACGAGTCTCCCCCCCCCCCCCCCCCATCGCCAATCAGGAAGCCAAAGTTTTTAATGATTGAAATATAAAAGCACATTTTTTTTCTATTAGAGCTATCGGTCGCATTAGATTCCCATTAAATGATATTTTAACTCATAATTCAAAAACAGCAATTCCTTCAGTAAACCCCTTCATTTGTAGTTAATTAATTTATTTTTAATCAGACCTGGTTGAGCAAATAAGATAAATGTATGTGGTCAAGAATGGTTGTTGTCATACTTAACTAAGATGAATCTATGTAGGCCTAGTCAAGAAGGGTTGGTGTCAGACTTAATGTATGTAAATATAGTAAATCAGGGTTGGTAAAACACATTGATGTAAAAGCTATTTTACACATGGAATTGTATGGGGAGTGGGTTGATTATAGAAAAGTTCGGAGGGGGATAATCACTGTAGACCTATGCAGTGGCGGAACTAGAAAAATAGGGCCACCCCGCAAAAAATTCTTTTGGGCCCCCATATGGCAGAGGCGTAGCGACCCTTCCCGTTGACCGGGGACAAACTTTCGATTTGCACCCCCTCCCCTCAAACTTTCGATTTGCACCCCCCCCCCCCCCTCAAACTTTCGATTTGCACCCCCCCTCAAACTTTCGATTTGCACCCCCCCCCTCAAACTTTCGATTTGCACCCCCCCCCCCCCTTGCTACACCTCTACCATATATATATATATAAATTAAGGTCGGTCGGATGTGTGCCCCTAAACTGCCCCGGGCCCACTGTAGACCTATGACGTGACATCACTGACCACTGTAGACCTATGACGTGACACTACTGACCGCCATAGACCTATGACGTGACACTACTGACCGCCATAGACCTATGACGTGACACTACTGACCGCCATAGACCTATGACGTGACACTACTGACCGCTATAGACCTATGACGTGACACTACTGACCGCTATAGACCTATGACGTGACACTACTGACCGCCATAGACCTATGACGTGACACTACTGACATCTGTAGACTTATGACGTGACATTACTGATCGCCATAGACCTATGACAGCGCTGACCGCCTTAGACCTATGACGTGACACTACTGACCGCCATAGACCTATGACGCGACACTACTGACCACCATAGACCTATGACCTCGCTGACCGCCTTAGACCTAGAGCAATTAAGGGCCAAAGTCTGAAAGAGAAAAGATGAGACATCTCTGGAATCTGATTAGCTGACCAGCGGTCAAACCACTGTATAATTGATTTAGCCTTTAGAACAGTGCCTCCTCTGGTCCATCAGCGGTTATGTGGGGGAGGGGGCGGGGTGATACAAGGACAGGGGAGGGGAGTGGGGGTGGATCTCTGGTGAAACCGAGCGACTGTTGAGGGCTAACAATATTGAAGGGAGAGAATTAACACATTTAGAACACGTATTTAAATGAAGTTGCATTTAAAACAATTATAACTCTAAACGTTATCATTATCAGATCATGCACGTTACTGTTTATAACAAATCACAACAGCATCTATTTATGCTTTATATATATATATATATATATATATATATATATATATATATATATATATATATATATATATATATATATATATATATACCCAATACCTTTAATAATACCTACTTTTGAACAGTGTTTGTTTCAACGTTTTTATGGAATAATTCTAAATTAGAGAAAACGAGGGGAAAATATAAAAAAATTTAGAAAGTGTAATAAAAAGATTGAACTTCACCCCCTCCTCCCCCGCACGATACACAACTGTAAAAAAATAAACTACATGTAATCTCAAGTTTAAGGTTAGACAGACAACACCCTCTTGTATATATCACGTATGTACACCAGTCTCAATAACAATAAAATCCAACCTCAAGTATAAGAATAAACCTACAGCACACTCTGATATATTCCATAACTAAGAATACTACAGAAAATCAATTGAGAAATTAGCTAATTAATTTTAATTACACTCAGTTATACCAAGCACAGCATATTTGTGAGCCTTTTTAAATCAACTCTAGCCCCAACAGACAAGACAAAATATCCACATTCCTACAGAGCCATCAACCTCTCCATTTAAGGAACTAGTCTTTTAGGGATCACACCCCCCCCCCTCCACACGCACACAAATCTAGACTCTATATTATACAGCAAATATCTTGGATTCTCCCTTCATATAACACCCGCTCGATTTAATTTCTATGTCTTATCAAAGTCTACAAAGTTTGTAGTTGATTTAACTATATATATATATATATATATATATATATATATATATATATATATATATATATATATATATATATATATATATATATATATATATGCGCCTAAATATTTCGTGATGGCAGTGAACAAAACATGATTGTAATGAAACCACCAAAAGCAGTGCAGATAACGGTGTTTACATAAAAAAGTCACCAAAATAAAAAGCCGGTGTAACACTGAGACGTAGAAACGACTAATCTAAAAACGAAATTACATTTTTTACTTTCTCGTATATACGAAGTATAGAGAAAGTCTTGTAATCGTGCAAAAAAAATAAATCGAGATTTTTACAAATCTCGACGTTTCACACCTCACTGATACGGAAAAACATAATTTTGCAATCTTGTCCGTATGTCTGTGTGTCTGTCTGTGTGTCTGTGTGTCTGTCTGTCCGTGTGTAAACACGATAACTTGAGAACCGTTACAGCTAGGTTGATGAAATTTCATATATAAGTATTTTATCAAAATCGTAGATCCGTATCAACTTTTGAGCGATTTCCGATAACCGGAAGTGGTACTTTTCCTACTTTGAAGTTTTCAAAAGCCTATAACTTGAGTACTATTTCAGATAGATAAATGAAATTTCATATGTAAGTAAAAGATCTAATTCTCTACCTTCTATCAAATTTTGAGTCATTTCCGTTGACTGGAAGTAGTACTTTACGCTACTTCCGATTTCTCAAAAAACTAATGTAAATTTTAAAAGTAATAATAATATTGCGCACCATTATGCGCTTTTTTTTATTTGGCGTTCACTTGGTGTGCAATTAATTTGTCTACGAGATTTTATTCTATTTTTAAAACTTTAAGTATTTAAAATGGATTAAAAATCATGTCTATAGCCCGAGTTCCCATCCCCTGTTATTTTATATAAGAATATTCGAGAAAGTTTAGGGGAGATCACTCCCGGTTTATTTTAAAGT